CACCCTTGGACGACCAACTCGCCGCCTCCCTTTCGGGTTCCACTCGAGGGCTTGTCTAGTGATGTCACTTGATGGTTTCCTCAGCGTATGGCCAATCCATCTCCATTTCTTTCTGCCTATTTGTTTCACAATCGGTTCCTGATTGGTTCGCTCCCAGAGATCCCTGTTGCTGATCTTTTCTGGCCATCTGATCTTGAGTATTGAGCGGAGACAGTTGTTAATGAAGGTTTGAAGTTTGTTTGAGATGCTCTTTATGACTCGCCAAGTCTCTGATCCGTATAGTAGCACTGACTTCACATTGGAGTTGAAAATCCGGATCTTATTTTTGATGCTGATTGCTGTTGACCTCCACACAGATTTGAGAGTAATGAAAGCTTGTCTTGCTTTTCCGATTCTGGCTTTGATGTCCTCGTCAGTTCCGCCTGTAGTTGAGACGATGCTTCCCAGGTAGGTGAAGGAGGTTGTTTCTTTCAGGTTCTTCCCATTTATGCTTATTGTGGTCTGTTGTTGCTGTTGATGTTGGCAAGGAATCTTCATCATCTCTGTTTTATCTATGTTCACGTGAAGTCCTATCTTTGATGCTTCTTCTGCCAACTTGTTACTTTTCACTTGCATATCTTCCAGTTTATGGGAAATCAGACATATATCATCGGCGAAATCCAGATCCTCCAAGTCTTTTGTGTCAGTCCATTTTATGCCTGTTCCCTCGTTGGTTGCCGTTGTCTGTCGCATTATCCAATCAATTGCAATCAGGAAGATCATTGGTGATAGTAGACAGCCTTGCCTCACTCCCGTCCTCACTTCGAAGGCTTCCGTAAGTTTCCCGTTGTGGATTACTTGGCATGCAGCATTGTCGTATAACTGTTGGATGAGGTGTATAATTGTCGATGGGACCCCGTAGTAGCGAAGTAGTTTCCAAATGACCTCTCGATCGACGCTGTCGAAGGCCTTTTCAAAGTCGATGAAGTTGAGATAGAGAGGTGACTGCCATTCCAAGCTTTGTTCAATGATGATCCGTAGAGTGGCGATTTGATCAATACATGATTTGTTTCTCCTGAATCCAGCCTGTTCCGGACGAAGTTTTTCATCTAGGGCTTGTTTGATTCTCTCCAGGATGATGCGACTTAGTATCTTGCTTGGAATGGACAGAAGCATAATTCCACGCCAGTTTTTACATTGACTTAAGTCTCCTTTCTTTGGAAGTTTGAATAAGTAACTGTTCTTCCAATCCTCGGGTACTTTGCCCTCTTTCCACACCTTCTCCAGTAGTGGTGTCATCAAGTCCGCTGTTGTCTCTGGGTCTATTTTCAAAGCCTCTGCTGGGATTCCATCTGGTCCCGGTGTTTTCCCAGTTTTAAGCATCTTGATTGCATTCAGGACTTCTGATTTCGTCGGGGGGTCAGTGTTCACTGGTAGTTCTGCTTCCGTTGTTGGTATTGCTGGACGTGTTGTAGGTGGCGGACGATTTAGAAGTCTTTTGAAGTGTTCAACCCAGTGCTTTCTCTGTTCCACCTCTTTGGTGATTGACTTTCCATTGTCGTCCTTTATTGGCTTAATCTGTGTCGAACGTTTGCCCGAAAGGTTCCTAGTTGTTTGGTAGAGTGTGGCGAGGTCTCCTTTGCCTGCAGCTTGTTCTGCTTCGTTTGCCATGGTTTCATAATATTTTCTTTTGTCTTCCCTGGCACTTTTCTTCACTCTTTTGTTCAGTGTATTGTAGCTTGCATTCAGCTCCTGTTTTTGTTGCTCGTCCGTGCACTGGATAATCTTTTGCTTCACTGTCCTTCTCTCTTCTATTAGTTTCCAAGTGTCCGTAGTGAGCCACTGTTTGTCCTGTCTCTTTTTTCTGCCTAGAATTTCTATGCAGGTTTGGCTCCACACCGTTTTCAAGTTGTTCCAGTGCTTTTCAACGCCGACCTCTTCGCTAGTGTTGATTTGTGTCTCGGCTTTGTCCTTTATGCTTGCAATGAAGATGTCCTTTGTAGCCTGGTCCTTCAGCTTTTGAGTGTTGAACTTGGCTTGTGGTCTATCTGCAGCTCCTGATTCCCTGAAAGCTTTTAATTTGATTTGGATTGTCCCTTGTACGAGATAGTGGTCTGAGCCAACGTCTGCTCCTCTTCTTGCTTTTGTGTCCAGTAGGCTGCGCCTCCACTTCCTTGAGATTGAGATGAAGTCGATTTGGTTTTTGGTTTGCCCGTCTGGTGACACCCATGTAGCCTTGTGGATATCTTTGTGCTTGTATACACTGCCACCAATCACCAGTTCGTTGAAGGCGCAGAAGTCGGCGAAGAGTTCTCCGTTTTCATTCATTTCTCCTAGAGCTTCTCTACCCATGATGAGTTCCCTTCCCGTATTGTCTGGTCCCAGTTTGGCGTTCATGTCTCCCATTAGTATTTTCATGTCGCCAGCTGGAGTATTGTCCATTGTATTTTTGACCAGCTTGTTAAGCGTTAATTGGGTTAGATGTGGTGTAAAGTAAGCGGAAGCAGTTAGTGTTTACGAGATTGTAAAGCTTCGTCGATCCGCGTGTTTAGGATGCGTGTTTTACACAACTAGCCATTTCCCTTCTGGACAAACAACGTTAATTAAAGCAAGAATAGGTCGGAAGTGTGTCAGCTGGTTGGTTGTGCTAAATCATGATATTAATCCATATACACATTCACTGTTGATCTGTCGCAAGCCAACACGTGAAAACTGTTTGTGACACCTCTTAAAATCTTTTACAATAGCATACACATTTTTACTCTGAAAAGCCTCAGTCTTCATTTGATTTTTCTCCTTTTTGTATCTGATCCATTGTAGTTGTTCTACTTCTCTGTTGAAATCTAAGCTGATGAAGTTTCATGCAGAGTACGATTGTGTTAAGTCAGTCCTTTAGTGTTTACGACTGTAACCTTGTTGCTTCATCCCTTTGATGTCAGTCTTCGTATTCTGTTCAGTTAGTTGTTTACTTGTGTATTATGATTATTGGGATACAAACTTCGTGCATTATGCACACCAGCAGATGCGCCACACCAAATTTCATAGTTTGTGTGACATCCGGGATACTACATGGACGCCGGAGTTGAACCAGATGATTTCCTTAAGGAGCCACCCGTCCTATCCTTTGACTTGAAATCTGGTCCACAGGACAGCGAAGAAGCATCAGCATCTGCGTTTCCATGGCTTTCGTTGACCAAATCAGGCCTACGCGCCACTCGATCCTTTTTAATTCTGAAACCCATGTATACTATTGGTTTTTGGAATCAGCGTTTTCCAGCTCCCCGACATATCAACCAACCCGGATGTAAGCACTAGACGTTCGTTTATGTGTTGCCGATTGCTAATATCTACTGAATGTTCTACTTTATATCAGTCTTTATGCTTGATGTCAACCGGGATGAGTTTTTGTGTAACTATGATTTTTAGGGAAGTTGTTAGAGACTGTCAGTTTCATGGTCAGTTGTATTACAAACTGAAACTGTCACTAGGCTGAATCAAGATGAAAGTCCTTGCATAGATTGTTTAGCCGGTTTTCTCTTGAATTATGCGTGATGTTTTCATTTGGGAAATAATTTTTTTCATCATAGATGTACTAATGGACTTAACCCTAACTGACTTCAGAGATTCAGGGATTGACTTGTTACCAACAGGGCATAATCTCGTTGATTTAGAATATGCAGATGATATAGTCCTGTTAGGTGAAGACGCTGACAGAATGCGGTCTTCTGAACACCTTGAGCTGTAATCTGCGAGTGTTTGGCATGCGATTGGCTCCCTCCAAATGTAAGATGATGAGGCTACAGGACTGGACTACACTGACTCCTACCTTAAAAAATAGGGAGTAAAGTGGTGGAGCACGTTGACCGCTTCACTTATACGGGAAGTTGCATCAGCCAACGCTAACTGGTTGATCGCTGACAAAATCTCAGTACGGATACAGAGGGCTAGTTTAGCATACGCGAGTTTACGCCATCTCTGGCGTAGACGTGATATCCGGGTGGTTGTCGATAGAAGGGCGGGTGTACTGCTCAGCAGTCCGCTCCTTCCTCCTTTATGGCCAGCTGTGACACCTGGCCATTGAAAATGGAAGATATGTAAAGAATAGCTGTCTTTGATCATAGGTGCCTGCGTTCTATCTCCCGTGTTAGACGGTAGTGTAATAGGGTGAGTAATATTAAGGTTAGGCGTCAATGGAGTGCCTAGTAAGGAGGGGAAATCAATCGACGAGGCTGTGAAGCTACATCGACTGAGATGGTTAGGACATGTGTTAGTATGCATGACTAGTCATCTCCTTCCTTGACAATGGGTGCAATATTAGCTGACATAGAATCAGGCTGGAAAAGAGCTAGCTATTGATGGTCAAAGCAAAACATAGCCTCCCCACTCAATGAAATCCACAACAGTTAGTTTAAGCCAGCCAGCCAGTCACGTGGGAAGGTGTAGACTGGCTTCCTGGTTGGGGTCCTCGGGACCGTAAAAGCCAATGAAGGCTGGAGACAATCGGTGATATGGCTCAAAGTGATCGTTCTCAATGGCTGGCTGGTGCAGATGCATCCACTCCTTGTGACTTATGATTTCCAATAAAACTATATTGTTCTTCGTTATTACTATTCCTTTAGTCTCATATCCCTGTTTACTGTCTCTATTATGCATTTCTTCTGTTGCTTTGTGTGTTACATGGAGGGAGTGCGGCGACTTGAACTGGTGCACATATGTGCTAAGTTCTATGTTGAAAACAGACAGACAGACAGAGAATGACGATGGTGATGCTGATGCCTAGCGTAGCGTAGCAATTTAATTGGCACATGATTTACTTTTTCTGTATCTTTCTTTTCTTGGGGGGCGAGGAGATTTGTGTCCAAGGCCATGTTTTAGTCTTTTTCCAAGATGACACGACTTAACGTTTTACTCGGTGTGAATGCTTTCCTCATATTGTTTGATTTAATTCCATCTAATCCTTTTTTTATTGTTTTTTAGAAACACTTGGTTTCTTTCCATTTTACTCACAACCTGAAAGAAACATGGAAGAAGACCACATAGTTATCGTAGGTTCCCTGATTTTTTTGTACACCAGTAATTTAATTAACCAAATCCTTTTTTTAGGAAGAGCAAGATAGACCATTCGAAGAAGAACTAATCCGTAATCCGCATAGTGTCAAATCATGGCTAAGATATATTAGCATGAAGGCGAAATCACCGCCAAAAGTTGTCTATATGCTGTATGAACGAGCTGTTAAACAACTTCCGGGAAGGTAATTTCACTTCTACAACACTGTGTCTATACAATAATTCTCTCTCTCTCTGTGTGTGTATAGTTATAAATTATGGTATCGTTATCTACGCTTACGTCGTGTCCATTCACGTTCTCTATGTCCTGGAAGTATTCTTCACGAGGAGACGAACAATGCACATGAAAGAGCTCTTGTCACCATGCATAAGGTAAAACTAAAATCAAGCATTTTCCATATTAGTTGGTTTATTAGATGTATCACACAGTGAAACAGTATTAGTATTTACTGGATGACGTTTCTAACAGAATTTATTGTTCATAATCACAGCATCAATTATAATCACACGGCTTTGAAACGTTTTTTCATAGTTTTCTTTGTCCTCTCCTATTTGTCGTCATAGGGGTTGTAGGATTTCCCGGATATCCATCTGGGACAGATGGTGAATCATTCCTATTAAATGTATTTGCAGTTGATTCGATAAACAAAGCTTCTGTTATTATTCTCTCCCTATACCCTGTGACATTAGATTTTAAAACTGTCATCCTATCCCATCCTAATGTATGGTTGTGTGCAGTTGCATGTGGTGTAGTGTTATGGCTATGATAAAGAAGATTTGTAGCTCAGGTGGATGATTTTGATGTGGTTGTGTTCTCTGAGCTGGATGGTTTATTTGCGAAGCTTTCATCACCTTACTGGGTGACATCTTCAGCGCATACTTCAATTTGATGATGTGAGCTTTTAGATTTCTCCACGAGTTTATTAATCATCTCTCCTGGTCGGTGACCTTGGACATGATTGATTGTTTTTGTGTGCTTTCATACCTTCTAGGTTATTTGTATTTGAACTTATTGTTTCCTTGACTTGATTTTTGACCATTTGTGTGTGGGGTTTCTTTCTTATCGGTTGATAAATTTTGTCTATCTCGATGGGTCTATTGATTGACGATTCACTGGAATGCCAAGCTTCTAAACATTCTCTAGCCTTCTTGTTGTTTCCTCTGTCTAATATTTGAACGCTGGTTGTCCCAGTCAAATTGATGTCCGTGGTTATCTGTATACAGTGAGGCAATATGAGGGAGTGGATATCATGTCTCTTGACGGCTAGCTTGTGTTCGTGGATACGAAGACGAAGAGGACGTTGTCCACTTTGACCAATGTAGTGTTTTTCGCAGTTGTTACAATTTATTTTGTGGATGATGTCGGTTTATCTTCTTTCGATGTTTAGTCTTTTGGTTGACATATAATTGAGTGAAGCGACTTTGTAAGTTTGTGTACAACGTCAATTCCTAAAGGTTTGAAGAGTATTGTAGTGATTTCTGAGATATCCTTTATATATGGTAAGGCGATTTTCTTTATGCTTTCCGTGGAGAGTGATGAAAGCTTCGCAAATTAACCATCCAGCTCAGAGAACACAACCACATCAAAAGTGCTATGGCTGAACTATTCTCCAGATTTCTTATCTTATCCGGGTCAACCAATCTAGATTTTGCTGCTAGGTTTTTATGTTCGGCTAGTCTGACTGCCCCTGTTCTACTACTCTGACCTAGGTATTTGACCTCACTGACAATCATTGCAGGTAGGGTATTAGATAAACTAAATTGTTTTGTTTTAAAGGCTCCACAGGATTGATCCTCCTCTAACTGACAAAGCTTGTTTCTAATTGAGTTTGTGGGTGGGTGGGGGTGGTTTGAATGGCAGTAGCCACTTTTATTGGTGGCTGCCTTGTTAATAATTCTGCGTAAGGTGGTTTCCGAGGTTCCTTCCTTGTATGGAATTACTACTGATGATTAAGATTCCTTATTGTTGGTGTCGTCATTAATAATAATAATATCATTATTATTATCACTATCGCTGCTATCATTATTTACTACCACAGTGCCCAAGTTTTACACATATATTAATCAAGCATTTTGTTTATACTGATCACACTTCTTTTTCTGTGTCACTGTCTCTAGATGCCTCGTATATGGATAGATTATTTGCTATTTCTTATGTCACAAGGGTTTATTACACGGACAAGACATGCGTTTGATAGAGCCTTAAAAGCTCTACCAATCACCCAGCATGATCGTATATGGAATTTATATTTACGATTTGCTGATAGACATGGGATAAAATCAATGAAACTTGTGTACGCATTTATAGACGATATGTAAAAGTAAGTGATGCGTTTCGCTTTTTTTGGTTTTGTTTTTGTGATAGTGTAAAGGTTTTTGCATTTCTCGACAATTCAGGGTTTTGTGGAGGTGGCGGTGTGTGTGTGTTGAGAAGGTGTGGATTAATGCTGACTGTTTGATTTCGTCATGAACCAACATCTGACAGCGGTGAGCAGCACCTGTGCTACCCCACCGCCAGAGATTGTGAATCCCAGGACTTTCAGCCACTGCTATCAGAATTCAACAATGCTGAGTTCTATGAATCCGGTATATATATATAATATATATATATATATAGCATTCGCTCTTCACGCTGAATTGGTGGACCCCATTGCCTACCACTTGTTTGACTTTGGATTCATTTTAACAGTTGCTTAGTAGTGCTCTTTGGTGTTCTTATTGATTCTCTGACACGTGTTAATTCGCGTCAAAATCTCTGTTGAAACTGTGGTGGTTTTCTCATATAATGTAGGGCTAGAACGGCCAACGTGCTAACCACTAGGCCACCGATGCAATGTTGATTGGGAGTGAAGTGATAGAACATGTTGTGACCACTTCACCTATATGGGAAGTTGTATCAGCACCAACGGACTGACTGATTGGCGACGAAATCTCACCACGGATCCAAAAAGCTCGAACTGCTTTCGCTGACTTACATCATCTCTGGCGTACACGTGACATCCGGTTATCAACCAAGGGACGTGTGTACTGCTCAGCAGTTCGCTCCGTCCTCTATGGCTCTGAAACATGGCAAATACGCGTTGAAGACATGAAAAGGTTGACTGCTTTCGATCATAGATGTCTGCGATCTCTGTCTCACGTTAGGTGGTTATAATAAGGTAAGTAATGTTGACGTTAGGCGTAGAGTGTTGGGCAGGCAAAGAGGGAAAATCAATCGACGAGGCTATAAAGTTACATAGATTGAGATGGCTGGGTCACGTGCTGCGCATGCCTAACTATCGCCTCCCCCGTCGACAGGCATTGCTAGCTGATATAGGTGCAGGTTGGAAAAGAGTAGGTGGTGGCCAAACAAAAACATGGCATCAATCCATGAAATCTTTGACAGTTAAGCTGAGTCAGGTAGGGAGATGGAAACTTCTGGGTTGGGGCCCTCGGGACTGACTCTGGGAATCAATGGCTGGAGACAATAGGTGACATGGCTCAAAATCGTTGTCAATGACAGAGCAGATGTATTCAGCCTCTGTAATCTTTCATATTCCTTTCTACCATTACCCATTCTGTTTCACTCTTATACTTGTCAAACTCTATTGATTCTCTTCACTCATCTTCTTGTCTGCGTTTGTGTGCTATTTGGAACGTGGTAACTCGAACTGGTGCACTTCGGTGCCAAGTTCTATGTTGAATCCAGACAAGCAGACATATGATGTAGGGCAGAATCATACAGTATTCTTAACTAAACGACGTTAAAGCTCGATTTTTCGTCATAGTCTTATCAAGGTGCATATATATATATATATATATATATATATATATATATATATATATATATATATATTCCTGTTGGAGCATAGGTCTTAAGGCTTGATCTGAGCAGATCACTTCGGAAGGCATTTTAACGATTAGCACTAGTATCCAACATTATTGACTGTAGTGCTCTGTAGTGTAGTCGGTTAATACCGACTCACCGAAAGAAGCGAAGGTTCGAGAGAAACTTTAAGTACTGAAAGACTTTAAGGGAAGCATCCTACCCAGACAACGTACTTTAAAGTTAGTGGCAAGATTCTTATTAGGGTATTGATTGGACTTTTCTGGAAGGTATCGAGAGATGCGAATGTTCCATCAGTGTGGAATGAATCCGCCATAGTTCTCATTTTTAAAACGAGCCTGACGATCATAGGAGTATTCGTCTGCTGCTGTCTTGCTTCCCAGGCTTTGCTTCTGCACACGTGAAGCTGGCTGGATTTCGTTCAGGCTGTGGATGTATTCATCATGTGTTCACTCTCTGTCAGTTGGTAAAAACACCGACACATGCGCATTGTAGGCCAACAATCGTTGTGTTTCTTGATATTATAACTGTTTTTCATTCTTTGTCTACTGTCTACTTGTTAAAGAGAATTGTTCCTGAGATGCTTGTCGACATCCTGAAAGCCGTATACACGGACAGTTCAGATAAATTCAGGGCATACAACTAGCTATCATCACTGTTCTCAACTAACAATAAGGTTAAATATGATTACTGAGTCTCTTTATTTCTCCTCGACTTTGCTATCGATGACCTTTTGGGCAGATAGCTCTGAAGGATGTGCGTGTGTGTATGTGTGTGTGGTGGCTCAGATCGGCTTCATGGAGAAAGAATTATCAGTTATGTCCAGTAATCTCAATCGGCGGTGAACTTGCTGCATTTCCCTTTTGTCTTCTCTTTCGGAAAGCAACTTGAAGTGTTGAATGATCTTGACAAGTATGCTTCCTTACTTTCTGGATGACGTCCTTCACTCGTTGTTGTGTTATTTTCATGTGGCGGGTTTCTTGATTCCCATATTGTAACAAGTTTGTGTTTTAAATACGTAATTAGAAGTTAACTGGTGGTTTGTGACTAGCAGTGGAATCCAGGATGCACATTTCGTCCTATTCGGGACTCGTCCTCTCTTCAGTGAGGAGTGATACTGTTCCCTTCGAGGCTTGAACACCCAGTACCTGAGACTGAGCACTTCAGTCCAATCAATCGAAAGGGAAAATCTGAAGTTGAATTAAAGTAACTAAAAGTTTGAGTTTTGAAGTGTTCAGCAGCAGTGGCATTTTGTCATGGAGGCGGGGTTGACTGGGTGGGTAGTTGCTAGTCTCACTCACCACAACCTTTTAGTTATTAGCACACTTAATACCGGCCGGCTAAGCGGGGTTTAGGAGGGAGTGTGTCTTCTGGTTGGAAAACGAACCTTGGGCTACTTGCCACTTGCCGCATTCTACCGACACACTCATATCCTTTATGGGATTGGAGTCCCCCGCATCACCCACTGCTGCTATTATCAAAAAAGAACAAACCGGTATTAAAAATTTAATTTAATTTTAGATTTTCCCGTCCATGGATTAGACCGAAGTGCTCGGTCTAAGGTATTAAAAATGTTTTACTAGCCTATAAATGTCTTAATCATATTTCACTCATATATATATTTTTGTTTTTTCTTTTTTTCGTTGCCTCCTTTAGTTCGCTCCAGATGATATGGAACGTTTTGTCGGCTTTCTTATCCGTCATGGTAATGCCAATGAGGCTGCTGTTGTCCTCTCTGAAATAATCAATAATGACAGTTTTATGAGTCGTGAAGGAAAATCAAAATTCCAGCTATGGAATCAATTGTGTAATCTTTTAGTGAAAAATCCTTTAAAAATTACATCATTGAAAGCTGACCCGATTATACGTCAAGGGATTCATCGGTATACGGATCAGGTAAAAAGAAAAAAAAACGTTGTCTTTTTTGTTCCACATTAGTTTGTTTATTAGATGTATCACACCCAGTATTATTCCATACTGGATGACGAGGTTTCGAACAAAATTTATTATTATTGTTCATAATCATTTCACCAGTTATAATCACACAACTTCGAAACTTGAGTTTTATAGTTCTCTTTGTTCTCTCCTATTTGTCGTCGTTGGGGTAGTTGAATTTTATGAATATCTGGGTGGACACATGTTGAATCATTCCCATTATACGTATCCTACTCATGTAATTCGATAAACAAAGCTTGTGTTATCGATTTCTCCCTCCACCCTGCTGCAACATTAGATTTTAAAACTGACTGAGTGGTGCTCGGGAAGCACAAACACGAGAGAGCCAGGCAGGCTTTAGACCAGGAAGAGGGTGTATTGATCATATCTTCACCCTCCGACAGATTCTAGAACATAGGCATTCCTACCGGCGTCCAACAGTCATTATATTTCTTGACCTAAAGGCAGCATTCGACTCTGTCGATCGGGAAGTTCTCTGGAGATGCTTGGCTGTAAAGGGAATTCCAAGAAAATATATTGCACTGATTAAGGCACTCATTCGTACTCATACAGCCAGGTGAGGGCTTACGGCGAGCTGTCATCTGAACTGATGACGACCAGTGGTGTCCGTCAAGGATGCCCATTATCTCCTTTTCTATTCAACTTCATCATAGATGTGTTAATGGACTTAACCCTAGGTGACTTCAGTGACTCAGGAATTGACTTGCTACCAGGGCATAATCTCGTTGACTTGGAATATGCAGACGATATAGTCCTTCTAGGCGAAGACGCTGAGGAAATGCAGAGTCTTCTAAACACCTTGAGCCGCAATCTACGAATGTTTGGGATGCGATTCGCTCCCGCCAAATGCAAGATGATGCTACAGGACTGGACTACATCGACGCCTAGTTTAAAAATAGGAAGTGAAGTGGTAGAGCACGTTGACCGCTTCACTTATTTGGGAAGTACCATCAGCCCCAACGGGCTGATCTCTGACGAAATCTCAGCACGAATACAAGGGGCTCGTTTCGCATTTGTTAGTTTACGCCGACTCTGGCGTAGACGAGATGTTCGACCATCAACCAAAGGGCGGGTGTACTGCTCATCAGTCCGCTCCGTCCTCCTTTATGGCTGTGAGACCTGGCCACTGAGAGTGGAAGACATGAAAAGACTAGCTGTCTTTGATCATAGGTGCCTGCGTTCTATTTCCCGTGTAAAGTGGCATAATAAGGTGAGCAACATTGAGGTTAGGCGTAGAGTTCTAGGTAAAGAGGGGAAATCAATCGACGAAGTCGTGAAGCTACAAAGACTGAGATGGTTAGGACATGTGTTACGTATGCCAAGCCATCGCCTCCCTCGACGAGCTATGTTAGCGGATATAGGGTCAGGCTGGAAAAAAGCTAGCGTCGGTCAAACAAAAACTTGGCATCAGTCAATGAAATCCACAACAGTTGGTCTAAGCCACGTAGGAAGGTGTAGACTTCCAGGCTGGGGTCCTCGGGACGGTAAAAATCTATGGTTGGAAACAATTGGTGACATGGCTCAAAATCGTTCTCAGTGGCGCAGATGCATCCACTCCCTGTGACTTATGATCTTCAATGAAACTGTTTTGTATTTCTTTATTACTCCTTTGTCTCACACCTCTGCTCACTGTTTCTATTATGCTTTTTTTGTACTTTCTTCTCTTGTTTCGCGTGCTACACGGAATGTGGCGACTTGAACTTCCGCACATTTGTGCAAAGTTCTATGTCGAAAACAGACAGACAGACAGATTTTAAAACTGTCATCTTATCCCATACCATCTTGTTATATGGTTGTGTGTGTAATTGCATGTGGTGTAGTGGTATGGTTGAACTATTCTCTAGATTTCCCATCTTATCTGGGTCAACTAATCTGGTTTTTATGCTCGGCTAGTCTGACTCACTGAACCTGTTCTACTACTTTTGACCTATGTATTTGACCCCACTGACAATCATTGCAGGTAGGGTATTAGATAAACTAAGTTGTTTTGTTTTAAATGCTCCACAGGATTGATCCTCCTCTAACCGACAAAGCTTGTTTCTAATTAAGTTTGTGGGTGGGTGGGTGGTTTGAATGGCAGTAGCCACTTTTATTGGTGGCTGCCTTGTTAATAATTCTGCGTAAGGTGGTTTCCGAGGTTCCTTCCTTGTATGGAATTACAACTGATGATTTAGATACCTTATTGTTGGTGTTGTCTTGCGCATATCTGACATGCATGTCGTCATTAATATTATTATCATTATTATTATTTTCATCACTATCACTACTATCATTATTTATTTTAATTCTACATTTCCCTACACATTTCCTGACTAAGTTATCCGGGTAATTATTAAGTTTCAAGGCTTCTTTTATTTGTATCACTTCCTGTCTTAGATTTTCCTTGGTAGTACTTGGTTTTTGTGCTGTGTTACTTAAACATTTTACCAATCCTATTTTTGCTGACATAGGGTGGGTGGGATGATCGGATGTCCAAATATCTGTATGAATGCGTGGGTTTCCTGTAAACACACTATCGTGTTTAACTTCCCATCTTCTTTCCTTTTTACGCTGCAGTCTAACATTGGAAGCTCCCCTTTTTAAGTGACCTTCCAATATTCATAAGTGAATTGAATTGCCTCCACGTTTGAGTTAATGTGTTCGAAAAATCTATCTATATCCTGTGTTTATAAGTATAGTGATTGTGTCATCTACATAATTCCACTATACTTTTGGGATGGGTGGGGGTGAACGTTTCAATCGCCATGTTTTCCCACCTATCAGTGATTATATCTGCTACAACCGGGGATATAGGTGATCCCATGGGAACTCCCACAATTTGTTTGTATATTTTCCCTTGGAATTTAAATACTGTGGAAGTCAGGCCTAGCTAGCCACACTCCCAACATTATGTCCTCAAGTGGCACTTTTGTCCTAAGTTCGAGTTCTTGGTCAGAAATGAGTTCGTTTCTGACTGCCTCTATAGCCATACCTATTGGTATACGTGTATATAAACTGACAATGTCAAAACTAACCATTTTCTCTTCATTATCTAATTTTAAATTGTCTAATCTATGTTTTAGTTCATAAGAATTAGTTAGTGTAGATTTTGAATCGCTTTTTAGGGGATTTAATACCATGACTAAATATTTAGATAATTCATAGGTAGGTGAATTTCTGAAATCAACTATAGGCCTAATAATAGGGTATCCTGACTTCTGAACTTTAACAACACCATACATCCTACTGGGGTTGTTGTTAGTTTTGGGCATTAAATTAAACCACCACTTAGACTCCTCACCTAGAAACGGCTTCGTTCGGTGTATAAGGTAAGGGTTCGCTGTGGATTTCTTAAATTTATTCCTAACTGGTACGTCGGTGGCATAGCGGTTAGGACACTCGCCGACCATGCACATGGTCCAGGGTTCGATCCCCGGCCACCGACGCACTCCTCCCTTACCTCGCTAAGCCAGAAATAATGCTGGTAAAGAAGGAAAGGTTGGGCATGAGGTGGCTAGCTACCCCATCCTGTAAGATTAAACACTGCTACAGGAAGAACACTTCACGCCTCTAGCTTGAAGGCTCCCTATGTTCCACTGGGGGAACGTGAAGGAAAAAAATTCATAACTGTGTCTATTGATTTATTAAATTCCTCATCTATCTTTATTGAACTGTTCATTGACTCTTCATTCTATCTCTATATAGGTAGGCGTTCTGTGGAATTCTCTGGCTGACTATCATATTCGTTGTGGAAATCTTGCACGTGCTAGAGATGTTTACGCTGAGGCGTTGAATAGTGTTTCAACAGTTCGTGATTTCACTCAAGTGTTTGATGCTTATGCTGAATTTGAAGAGTCAATGGCCAAGGCGAAAATGGCTGCTTTAGAACAATCTGATGTTACAGAAGAAGGTGAGGCGTTTGATTTCTCTTATAGAGTATGTACTTCAGCGGCGTCGGTAGTTAAGCAGCGAGAGGCTCGCCAACCACGCCATAGGTCAGAAGTTTGATCCTTGGCCTATGCACTTCTACCCTACTCTGAGCCAACAGTAATGTGGATAAGGTAGGAAGATTGGGTGTGAAGTTAGCGACCTCATTGCATAAAAATCAAACCACTCCTTCTGAAGCTTCAGAGATCTAGATTGAAGCTCTATGTTCCACTCGAAGCGTAAAGGAATAAAATTAAAAAATAATGTACTTCAACAAAATGTATCACTGCATGAGGACTAGTTTCACATATGCCAGTTTACACCGTCTCTGGCTTAGTAGACGTGATATCCAGCCTAAGTATGCCACTGAGCCACTGACGCACATCAATTATCAAGTGTTGGTTTGCAAAGATTGGATCAGTTTCAAGTTCAACCATGGATCGACATCAGTTAGAAGGCCATAGAAAATAACCACGGGGCACCGGATAATTGTCTCGTCCCAATTTAGGACTCTTCATCGGTACGCGCCCAACAACAGGGTTCGAATCCGAGACCTTTCAGTTACAAGGCGAGCTCGTAGATTGTTCACTCACGGGACTTGATCCAGTGGCCAACCCATGGGTTGCAACTTTCGCCAGCGCAGTCCACCACGTTAGGTAAGAGATGAATTACTCGCTTATGACGTTGCCTGGTGGTTGCATTACACATATATCATGAATTAGTAGAAGTTGGAATTCATGGGTTGGCTATTGGGTCGGATCCCAGTGGCCGAATTGTCTTAAAGCTCACCTTGTAACCGGAAGGTCTTGGATTAAAACCTCAGTGGGTGCATAATGATGAAGAGTTCCAATTAAAAGTCCAGTACACCCAGGTTTACCAACGGTCCTCTAACTGATCTCATCCCGTGATCACAGCTATCATATCAATTAGTCAAGCTTAAGGGACTGCTGAATACAGGATAACTTATACGCATTTATTTCCTCTGATTTGGATAGTTATTTATTTTTACAATGATTCCTATAACCATCAGTGAAAGTTAAACTTTCTCGTCTCCTTTAAAAAAACAATACGGCGCCCATTCTTTCAAAATATTTCAGTATTCCTGATATGCTACTTATATTGGATCGAGTAGTTAACACGCGTGGAACATCAATTTTAACTGTGTTAAGAAAACAGATATAAACTACTTGATACAGATGACGGACACTAGGCTTCGATCTCCCTCTCTCTAAGTGCTCTCATGTGGCCACGCGTTCATAGACTCGACCAGTAGAGTCTTATTCATTGCGTTTACTCAGCAGGGTTGTTTCCCTACAAAAGCACAACGGCAAACTCCAAGTAGAGAGGATCTTGTAGCCATGATGAAATTTCATCAGTAAACACCTTATTACGAGTGATAAATATAATTCCAAACTAATTAAATGGACAATACATTCTGTAACTCTGATCTCTCCTGATCCTCAAGCTACAACTGAGTGTAAACGAATTCGGTGGATTTACTCCATACTTTGCAGGTATTAAAGGATATTCCAAAATATTTTTTTGATTTACAGCTTGATTCCAAACTGTATTTTTGGTACAAGTATGGAATTTCCAGCATGGATATCGGTAGCCCAAATTTAGCAGGCCGACCATAGAAATCAGGTATGCGTCGGTAGGGGATGGAACCTCGGACCATGCCCATGGTCGGCGAGAGTCCTAACCACTGTGCCACCGATTATTACTCAGAATTCAGGAAACTCCGCATTTTTATGCCCTTAATATTACACTGTAAGAAACGACTTCCTGTGATGCAATAAATTCTTTAAATTGAAGAGAATACTCTGGGCTATTCAACCAATGGACAAATATCTAATTGTGTATATTTACCAACCTTTGACAATTGAAAACTCCCCTATTTCTTACTAATCTCCCTTGTTAACTGGCATAATATAATGAACAATATAAAAGGCTAGGCGTAGAGTGCTAAGTAAGTCAGTTAAGCTAATCAGTAAGATCCTAGGGCTACATCGAGTGATATGCCTAGGACATATGTTGCCCAAACCGAAATATTGTTTTCCTCGAAGACCAGTGTTCGCTGATTGATATAGTATTAAGTTGGAAAAGAACTACAAGTGGTTATATCAAAACTCACAATCACTCCTTAGAGTCTTTGGCTTTGAGTCAGCTATGTATGTAAAAAATTGTTGACTATCTGGTTAAGGGATTTGGGTTGCGCTAAGAACCAATGGGTGGAGAGCATTGGTGAAATGCATTCTATACTAGATCCATTAAATATTCATCTTTCACCATACTGCTATTCTTTATCCCTCAGTCTCTCATTTCTCTCTTGTTCACCTTTATGAGTCGGTGGCATAGTGGTTAGGACTCTAGCCGACCATGCACATGGTCCGGAGTTTGATCCCCTGCCGACACACACCTGATATCTATGATCGGCTTGCAAAATTTGGGCTACCGATATCACATGCTGCAAAATCCCATACCTGTACCAAAAAATACGCTGTAGAATCAAGCTGAAATAAATAAATAAATAAATAAAATATGTGCTTTACATAGAGTGTGGGAACTTGAAGTGGTGTACTTCTGTGCAAAGTTCTATGTTGAATCTCAAATGGTCAGTTGGTCGCTTCCTAGTGAAAAGCTTCAGCCAATCAAAAGTAGATGGTTTAATTTCACTTTTATGTATTCAGGCGATCCAGATTAGGTCGCCTGTTTCCGGCTTAGAACAGTAAGATCAACCGTGTGGGAAAATTTTCGATGGGTAAAATACTTTAGTAACATCTGACTTCCGACATCATGCAGTGATACTGTCTGTATTCAACATAGAACTTTGCACCGATGTGCACCAGTTCAAGTCGCCACACTCCCTCCATGTAGCACACAAAGCAACAGAAGAAAGTAGAAGAAATGCATAATAGAGAGAGACAGTAAACAGGGATATGAGACTAAAGGAATAGTAATAACGAAGAACAATATGGTTTTATTGGAAATCATAAGTCTGTCTGTCTGTCTGGATTCAACATAGAACTTGGCACCGAAGTGCAGCAGTTCGAGTTGCCACGTTCCAAATAGCACACAGAGGTAGACAAGAAGATGAGTGAAGAGAATTAATAGAGTTTGACAAATATAAGAGTGAAACAGAATGGGTAATGGTAGAAAGGAATATGAAAGATTACAGAGATTGAATACATCTGCGCCATTGACAACGATTTTGAGCCATGTCACCTATTGTCTCCAGCCATTGATTCCTAGAGTCCCGAGGGCCCCAACCCGGGAGTCTGCATCTCCCTACCTGACTCAGTTTAACTGTCAAGGATTTCATGGATTGATGCCATGTTTTTGTTTGGCCACCACTGGCTCTTTTCCAACCTGAACCTATATCAGCTAACAATGCCCGTCGGGGGAGGCGGTGGTTAGGCATGCGCACCACGTGACCTAGCCATCTTAGTCTATGTAACTTTATAACCTCGTCGATTGATTTTCCCTCTTTGCCCAACACTCTACGCCTAACGTCAACATTACTTATCTTGTGAAACCACCTAACGTGAGACAGAGATCGCAGACATCTATGATCGAAAGCAGTCAACCTTTTCATGTCTTCAACGCGTATTGGCCATGTTTCAGAGCCATAGAGAAGGACGGAGCGAACTGATGAGCAGTACACACGTCCCTTGGTTGATAACCGGATGTCACGCCTACGCCAGAGATGGTGTAAGTCAGCGAAAGCAGCTCGAGCTTTTCGGATCCGTGCTGAGATTTCATCGCCAATCAGTCCGTTGGTGCTAATACAACTTCCCAAGTAGGTGAAGTGGTCAACATGTTCTATCACTTCACTCCCTATCACTAAGTTAGGGGTTGACGTCGTCCAGTCCTGTAGCAGCATCTTACATTTTGCAGGGGCGAATCGCATGCCAAACATACGAAGATTGCTGCTCAAGGTGTTCAGAAGACTCTGCATTTTGTCAGCATCCTCCCCTAACAGGACTATGTCATCTGCATATTCTAAGTCCATTAGATTATTCCCTGGTAACAAGTCGATTCCTAAGTCACTACGTTCAGTTAAGGATACTTCCATTAGCATATCTATGATGAAGTTAAACAGAAATGGGGAAAGTGGACATCCCTGTCGGACACCACTGGTTGTTACCAATTCAGATGACAATTCCCCATAAGCCCTTACACGACTACGTGAGTTTGAATAGAGTGCCTTGATTAGTGCAATGTACTTTCTTGGCACTCCCTTCACAGTCAGACATTGCCATAGTACTTTTCGGTCCACGGAGTCGAAGGCCGCCTTCAAGTCAAGAAATATGACAATTGTTGGACGCCGAAAAGTGTGTCTATGTTCTAGAATCTGTCGAAGAGTGAAGATATGATCTATGCACCCTCTACCTGGTCTAAAGCCTGCTTGATTTTCCCTTGTCTGTTCCTCCCGAGTTCTGCTTAGTCTATGCATGATTACTGAGCCTAGGATTTTAGAGACTATGTTCGTTAGGCTGATCCCCCTATGATTATCACACGAGGACTTGTTTCCCTTCTTGAATATCGGTATAATAAGTGACTTACCCCAGTCTGATGGTACTGTCTCTGATTCCCAGACTTTGCCTAGTACCTCAGTTAATCTACAAACTAGTATGTCACCCCCATATTTAAACACCTCCGGAATAATTCCGTCGGGTCCTGCCGCTTTGCCTCGTTTCAAATTACTGATAGCTTTTGTAACCTCACCTACAGACGGCGGACCAGTGTCTATATCCCATTCGGGTACGTGGTGGATGGCGGGGAGGTTCAGTGTGGCTGTAGGCAAGTTAAATTGTTCCTCAAAGTGTTCTTTCCAGCGTTCAAGGCGTCTATCCTGAGAGCTAATTAAGGAGCCATTTTTCTCAGAAATAGTCTCACTTATGAATTGCCTTTTCCCGCCCGATTCTGTGATGAGTCTAAAGAGTTGCCTAGTGTTGCCTATCGCCAATGCTTTTTCCATCTCTTTCGCCTTTGTCACCCACCACTGTTCACGGTCCTTGCGGAGACTTTTAGTAAGTTTCCTTTTGTGCAGCTTTCGCTCCTCATTGAATTCGGAGCTCGCCGGAATAAGTCTTCTAGCATCTATCAGTTCGGATGAGGCAGTCGAAATCCAGTGGTTTTTACTCACCTTTGGATTTGTCTTATTCACAGCTTTTACAGCTGTATCTATAGCTGACTGAATATTCTTCCAGGCTTCTCCAGGGTGAGCACAGCTGTCGGATTCAGATATGCGTTTAGCTAGTTCTTCCTCAAATAGGGATTTAGTTTCCTGATCGAGCTGGGGGCGTAATGGTTTTACCGCCAGCTGTTTCCTACGTCCGTTCAGTCGTAAGCACACACGAGCCCGGACCAGTGCGTGATCGGTATCTACACACGTGTTCCAGAAGGAGCGACAATCTCCTACCGACCCACGCCAACGATAGCTTATTGCTATGTGGTCTATTTGTGTCCAGCGTTGGTTTGATGATGGGGGTCGCCAGGTTAAACAGTGTCTCTCCTTGTGTTTAAAGTTAGTGCTTACAAGAAACAAATGATTATCTGAACAGAACTGTAGGAGACGGTCACCGTTGTCGGTTCGCTGGCACGGAACTCCATAGGTGCCACCGACATCCTTCTCAGATTGACACAATTTCCCTACTTGAGCGTTAAAGTCACCAGCTAGAACGACTATATCTGAGCGTTTAGCCTTTCTCACCAAACTAGACAGCTTTTGGTAGAACTCATCCTTCGTTTCATCCGAACTGCAGTCAGTGGGGGCGTAGGCGGAGATTACGAAAAGGCATCGGCGAGTAGTGCAGTCCTTTCTCCTTCTTACTGATCCGTTCAGACGGACAGCACACATTCGGCTATCTACTGGGATCCAGTCAAGCAATGTCTTTTCTGCCCTAGTACTCAGAGCTATCCCTACGCCAGCTAATCCCGTGAACTAGCTGTGGCATCTCCTGACACCCTCAAGGTGAATTTTGAAGATTCATCCTGTTGGCCAGGTGGGGTTAGGTGAATAACCACACTTGGGTCTTGTATGCGTGTTTCTGAAACACAACATACATCAATGGCTCGAGATGCCAGGGTCTTAGCTAGTGATGCTTGTTGTCCTATTTGGCAAAGTGTCCTAACATTAAATGCTCCTATATGAAATTGGTGGCGTGGCTTTAGGAGACTATCCGTGGTGGTTTTTTGGCTTTCGTCGTTTTTAGTGGACACAGAGTGAAGAGGGAGTGAGGAGCCATCAAGTAGAGGAGTTGCATCACTGGGGGAAGGTAAGGTAATAGAGATGAAGATGAAGACAAAGATAAGTGAGGATTAGAGAGGTTTTGTGTGCGTTTTGGATTGTGAGGGCGATTGTTACTTCCCGGCTGCCCACACCGTGGAAGTTGGTTGCGTGACCGCAGAGCCCAGGGGACAACTGCTTGTGGCCGGTCACACGCGGCCTGTTGTTCTTCGTTGTTTTGTGTGCCTCAGTAGCATACTTATCACTCCCGCCCTGTGACACGGCAGCAGGAAGCGCGGTCGTTGTTAATCCGGGCCACGGCCGATCCGGCATGAAATTTTGTGAATTTGTTTGGATCATGGTATTGGATGAGGTAGCTGCTTTTTGTTTAACCGCTATCCAAACAACCTGCCTGGCATGGTAGAACCTCAAGAGACATAAGTCTCAGCCAGTATAGCTTGATTAGGTCATTGCGGTGTTCAAGCCCGACCACCACGTCAAGGTAGCAGCTTTCGGTCGGGGAAAATCATAAGTCACAAGGAGTGGATGCATCTGCACCAGCCAGCCATTGAGAACGATCACTTTGAGCCATATCACCGATTGTCTCCAGCCGTCATTGGTTTTTACCGACCCAAGGACCCCAACCAGTTAGGAAGTGTACACCTCCCTTTGTGACTGGCCTTAACTAACTGTTGTGGACTTCACTGACTGGGGAGGCCACGTTTTGGTTTGGCCACCAATAGCTAGATCTTATCGAGCCTGACCTTATGTCAGCTAACATTGCACCCATTGTCGAGGAAGGCGATGACTAGTCATGCATACGTTACACATGTCCTAACCATCTTAGTCAATGTAGCTTCACAGCCTGGTCTATTGATTTCTCCTCCTTCTTACCTGGCACTCGACTTATGCCCAACCTAAATATTACTCACCCTAATATACCTACCAATTAACACAGGAGATAGAGCGCAGGCACCTATGATGGAAGACATCTAGCTAGTCTTTTCATGTCTTCCACTCTCAATGGCCAGGTAGGTCTCACTCACAGCCAGAAAGGAGGAGGGAGCGGACTGTTGAACAGTACACCCGCCCTTTGATCGATGATAGCCAGCCGGATATCACGTCTACTAAGCCAGAGACGGTGTAAACTGGCATATGCGAAACTAGCTTGCTCTATCTGTACTTAGCCTTCGTCAGAGACCAACCAGTTGCCGTTGGCTGATGGTACTTCCCAAATGAGTGAAGTGAACAACGTGCTTTACCACTTCATTCCTTATATTTCTAAGCTGGATTTCAGTGTATTCCAGGCCTGCTGCCTCATCATTCTATAATTGACCGGAGCGAATCGCATGTCAGACATTTGTAGATTGTAGCTCAAGTTGTTCAGAAGACTTTGCTGCATTATGTCAGCGTCTTCACCTAAAAGCAGGACTATATCATCTGCATATTCTAAGTCAACGAGATTATGCCCTGTTGGTAGAACGTCAATCCCTGAGTCTTTGAAGTGAGTTAAGGTTAAGTCTCTTAGTACATCTATGATGAAATTGAATAGAAATAGGGATAACTGTCTAAGTTAGAATTTCCTCCATATTAAATTAACTAATTAATTTGATCTGTTTCACACTCCTGCACTTTTGTTTTCTTCATTAGATGAATTGGATGTTGAATTGTACTTGGCACGTCTTGAATCCTTAATGGATCATCGTCCACTCTTATTGAACAGTGTTCTGTTACGTCAAAATCCTCACAATGTAGCCGATTGGTTAAAACGTGTTGAGTTGTTGAAAAGTCAAGGAGCACGTGAACAAATTGCTGCCTTCATGGAGGGGATTACATCTGTTGATCCTGGTGAGTTGATAATTTATTTTATGTTTGGATAATAAATGTAGAAATGGACTCAGATATGTTGTTGATTGACTCGTTGGTGCATCGGCTGAAACAATTTTAGGGCAACACTTTTCCAACCTGATCCATCATCCATCCTATGTGTGACAGTTAACATTGCCCCCGTTGTCGAAGTGGGTGATGGATGGCTAGACAGCACGCATGGGTAGCACATGTCCTGACCATCTCTCTCTCTCTCTCTCAATCGATGCAGCTTACCTTAATTAGCACTCACTCGACCTATGTCTCACCAGTTCAATATTGCTCGCCTTGAATACCACCACGTAACACGGGAGACAGAACGCAGACACCTATGATCAAAGACAGCTAGCTAGTTAGCTAGCCAGTCCTTTCATATCTTCCACTCTCAATGGTCATGTCTTACTCACAGACATAGAGGAAGACAGAGAGAACTGCAAATGAGGAGTACACACATCGTTTGGTCGACAGCCCCACCTAACCGGCCGGATATCACGTCTACTAAGCTAGAGATGGCGTAAGTTGACAGACGGATTGCCAAACGAGCCTTCTGTATCCGTACTGAGACCAACCGTTGGTGTTGGCTGATGCAACTCCCAAATAAGTGGATTTGTTCACACACTCTACCACTTTACTCCCTATCTTAAAGCAAGGAGTTAGTCGATGTACTCCAGTCCTGTAGCATCATCATCCTACACATTTGACGTGAGCAAAATCGCATCTGTCTGTCTGTCTGTCTGGATTCAACATAGAACTTGGCACCGAAGTGCACCAGTTCGAGTTGCCACGTTCCAAATAGCCCACAGAGGTAGACAAGAAGATGAGTGAAGAGAATTATTAGAGTTTGACAAGTATAAGAGTGAAACAGAATGGGTAATGGTAGAAAGGAATATGAAAGATTACAAAGACTGAATACATCTGCGCTGGCCATTGACAACGATTTTGAGCCATGTCACCTATTGTCTGCAGCCATTGATTCCCAGAGTCAGTCCCGAGGGCCCCAACCCAGAAGTTTGCATCTCCCTACCTGACTCAGCTTAACTGTCAAAGATTTCATGGATTGATGCCATATTTTTGTTTGGCCACCACCTACTCTTTTCCAACCTGCACCTATATTAGCTAGTAATGCCTGTCGACGGGGGAGGCGATAGTTAGGTATGCGCAGCACGTGACCCAGCCATCTCAATCTATGTAACTTTATAGCCTCGTCGATTGATTTTCCCTCTTTGCCTGCCCAACACTCTACGCCTAACGTCGCATGCGAAACATTGGGAGATTGCTGCTCAATTCAAGGTGTCGAGAGGACTATGCTGTATTACGGCAGCATCTTCATCCAGGTGGGAAGGACTATATCATCTGCATATTCTAAGTCAACTACTCCTTGAAATTACAGTGGTCATAAAACAGGATGAAGAATGAAGATAACATACTCGAATTGTGGCATAATAATAATGGCGAAAATATTATAAATTAGGGAATCTCCAAAATGTAACAGACATAGTGTTTTATATTTCGATCTACTAAAATAGTTTATGCTCAAACTCAAAGATCTACAGCTTCGCAGAAGAGATAAACAGCGAAGACACAGTGGTTGGAATGAGCATATAGAAGGCAGAGTGGGGGGGGGGATAAAGACACTTAACAAGCATCAACCAACTATCACCACCATCACCGGGGGGAAATTTAAAGGAATTCACCTCTTTCACTTATCCAGACATCATCGTTTCAAATATAGGCGGCACTTCCGAGAATGTCAAAGGTAACCAGGATCAGAAAGGCATCAAAACAGAGACGTCCATTACTCTAAAATCGGTGTGCAAAATCTACCTGTACTCAGTTAGCTGCATAAAGAACAAGACTCGGATTTTCAACACCACGAATGTCAAGTCAATCTCAACTCGTCTTTATCATTTAGCTACCTCTGATGTGTCATAAAAGTTTCAACTACAGGAAGTTGGAACGGACGAGGATGTCAAATCGAGAGAGAATCAGGAAGGCGAGAAACACATTCATCATCAACCTGAAACCAATCTGGAGATCTTCGTCACTCAGTCAGCATCAACAACAAAATTCGGTCGGATTTTCAATACAAACGTTAAGTCAGTCACTTCTTCTATACGGATCAGAAACTTGGCGGGCGGGCGGGCGGGGCACAAAGAATATTTCCAACAGCAGCCTGTTGAAGACCTTTATCAACCAACAACTGTCTTCGCTGGTTCTATACTGAAGATCAGATGGCCAGGCCGGAAAGAATCACCACCAACAAGAAACTATGGCTGGGAACAAACAAACAAAACAAGAACCAACCGCCAACCAACAAATATGCAGGAGAAAGTGGAGATGGCATTGGACACTCACTGGCTGAGGAGGCCGCCGCAGGGTGACATCGCGCTCGCGTCATGCCATTGCTCGACTGGAATCCAAAAGGGAAGTGGCGGCGAGTGGGACGTCAGTGCAAGGATGACATGGAGGAGATCGTGTGAAGAGGAGTTGAAACAGTTTGGATGGTGAACATGAATGCAGGTGAAAAGTACTGCAGAAGGAAGACAGAAGTGGTAAGTGGAGACGTGCAGTTGAAGCCCTAATGTTCCACTAGGAACCCAAGGGAACAATAATAATGTGTCATGAAAAAAAAAAGATTTCGAATAGGCTTTATACTTTTATCTCATAAGTCACCTTCTCTCCATGTACTGCAGTTGAAGCCATCTAAGTAGCTGTCGTTCAACAAATGTGCTTAAGAAAACGGAAATGGATGGATGGATGGATGGATTAAACCGTTGAATGACACGTCAAATGTCACGTCAGACCGACTCTCGAATGGAGCCTGAATGGGTAGCAAGTAACGTGTTGGGCGTTGAAGTTGAGATTGACAACAGATTAGGTCATGTGAAGAAGAAGAAGAAGAGACGGAAGCTTGTAAACAGTCATAGAGTCAACCGAAAGTGATGGCAAGGGAGGGGACTGAGTGGAATTATAGAGACGTCTAACTGTGGTCCTGTATGTTCCACTTAGGACGCAAGAACTGAATAAGATTATGGTTCATTAGCCGGAGCATAACAATATGCCATAGTGTCACTATTTAAGCTCATTGCATTCGATTTTGCTTGTTATACGTGTGTAATGTTTATATCTGTCACACTTATTACGTAATAATCATCCTTGTATTATTTATGCTTTCTGTTTATTATTGTCTTGCATAGCAAAAGCAACCGCTGGTCGTCCATCAGCCCTATGGACTGGTTTATCACGTTTATATGAAGAACATGGCCAGTTGACGGATGCTCGTGTAGTCCTTGAAAAAGCAACTGGTGTTGCATTCACACATGTTGAAGATTTAGCGGCTATTTGGTGTGAATGGGCTGAAATGGAAATGCGTCATGAGTAAGTTTCAGTGTTATTGTTCGTGCTGAGATTTCGTCAGCAATCAGCCTATCAAGGCTGATTTTGTTTTATTCCTGTACGTTTCCAGTGAATCATAGGGCTTCTCAGGCTAGAGGCTTGAAGTTTCGGCAGCAGTTCGAATGAACTGTCGTCAAGATTTGACAGAATAGTTCTAAAATATTGGGGCGCCGAGTGAGAAGTAAACATATTATATTTGTAAAATCTCAGCGAAATTGAAATGATTAATTCCAATGTTTCTTGTGTTCAGCAATCTGGTCCGAACTTCTTTTCCAGGGAAATTAGTCGAAATTAGCTAACATAACAGAGGTTTATATATATAAAAGGAACGTTTCTCGTTTTTAAAAACTTTGTCCAATCATCATTCATAAAACAAGTAACACCAAGTATAATAAACAAAACTGTATGAACTGTGATCAAAATTTTACCTCAGACTTACAAATATTGATCTACCTTTGTTAAACACTTTAAACAGTGTGTATGTGTGTGTGCGTGTGCGGGTAAACAGTTGTAAAACAATTTCTTAACGTCTCCATAAGAAGATATAGACAGTCGAGAATTTTGACGAAATTTTATTAATAAGTGATACATATCCATTCTTATTTATTAATCAGGATTTCCTATGCATCAGCTAACACACATCACACCTTCATGTCTGTTCAAACTGTTAGTATGTAGAATTTTATGATTAGACGTATTTTCAAAATTATGGTGTTTAGGATTAGAGTTTAGTTGAAGAGCACCCTGTCGAACTTATTACCTTGTCTTCTTTCTGAAGATTGAGTTGCTTTATTCCACCTACTGGAGTTTTCAAGTGACTGGACAGCTACGGATTTAGGATACGCGTTGTGTTGCAGACAACGGAGAGTAGAAACACGATGATTGTGCCAATTACATGGTTTCTTTGTTAATTTGATTCGATTGCAAAATAATTCAATTGAACTGTTATCAAGATTTGACAGAATAGTTCTAAAATATTTGGGCGCCGAGTGAGAAGTAGACATTTGTAAAAATTGGTAAAATCTCAGCGAGATTCAAACGATTAATTCCAACGTTTCGTTCGGCTTTATTTTAACGGGATGATGGGGTTGCTCACCTCATACTTAATCTTCTGTCTTTACCAGTCTTATTACTCGCTTAGCCGAGGTTAAGGAGCGCAAACGTCTATCGTTTACAGTTCGACTGGTGGATGATATGCAGGTTTACCTGCCTAGGCGGTAGCTGGGAAACCCTGACCGCAAACCTATGACACACATGAGCTGTAGAATCCAAACGGATGACTGGTGCGTAAACTTGCGTTTTTGCTCCATGGCCACCGTGGAAACTAACCTCCTGACGCTACACCCTGCTACCTTGTTGGTTAGACTTTAAGTCAAAGGCTCAAGGAGTAAGTGTAGTGATTCCTCGGGACAAACTCCGAGTTTTTGTGTTGTGTAGCCCATCTCTTGGTGCCTATGATGTACCAAGATTGATACTTTTTCAGCTGTCAGGATAACTGGGCAGTATTATCAACCCTCACACGAGGCACGTGTGGTTTATATATTTATTATTATTATTCTTTTGGGTTCCGGGCGGAACATACGGCTTCAGCTGTACCTCTCACTTTGTTCTGTCTTTTGCTGTCCTTTTCATAATCCTTTATCTCCTCCATGTCACCGTCTCACTGACGACCGACTTGTCGCTTCCCATTGGGATTCCACTCGAGTGCTGGCCTGCATTGCGCGTGATGCCATTGGAAGGCTTCCTTCCTCAATGTATGCCTGACGATCCATCTCGATTTTCTCCTACATGTTTGCTGAGAAAATCAGCTCTCGCCTGTTGATTGATTTTTTCCACTGCAGAGTTTTTTGTTTTTTGGCCAGACGACCGGGTGGCCGGCCGACCATTTTTTGATCTTCAGTATGGAACCAGCCAGCAAAGTGAGCAGCCACTGATAAAAGTCTGCAGTTGTGTGTTGGAAGTGCTTTTCGTGACATGCACACTGACCAAGTTTCTGACGCGTATAGAAGATACTGACTGACTGACTAACTCATATTGTGTTGAACGGAATCCGCATCTTGTTATTTATACACCAGCTGAGTCAGTGCAGAAAATTTCCAGACTGGTTTCAGATTAGTGAAGGGGCGTATCTTGCCTTTCTGATTCTGACTGGCTGGTGTGTTTTGGCATCTTCATCTGTGCCGTAAGCCTTCTGGTTTATATAGCCTGGTGTGTTTAAACAGTCTGTGCTGACGTTACTCAATTCTAGCTATTTTGATGATTAGAAGTTCTAAATTCATGATGCAAAAAATCAATAATTTGGATAATCATTGGTACATGCACTTCTTTCTAAGCCTTTTAACGATATGAATTTAGTTTTTGAATTGAATTCTTGATTTTCCCGTCGATTGATTGGACCGAAGTGCTCGGTCTCAGGTTGACATGTCGGCTTCTTGTGCAGATGCTTCGACGATGTCCGGGTATTTAGTTAGTATACTATGGGTACTGGGTTCGAGCATCGGTGGGAACATCATCACTCACTGAGAATGCAGGTACATCCAACTGACGAGTCCCAAATAGGACGAAATGCGCATCCTCGATTCCACTGCTAGCCACCATCCACCAATTGTATATGAATTTAGTTTGTTGTCTGTTTTCGACATAGAACTTTGCACCGATGTGCAACAGTTCAAGTCGCCACACTTCCTCCATGTAGCACACAAGGCTAGAGAAGAAAGTAGAAGAAATGCATAATAGAGACAGTAAACAGGGATATGAGACTAAAGGAATACTAATAACGAAGAACAATATAGTTTCATTGGAAGTCATAAGTCACAAAGAGTAGATGCATCTGCGCCAAGCAGCCAGTGAGAACTATTTTGAGCCATATCACCAATTATATTCAGCCTTCGTCGGTTTTTAGCGTCCCGAGGATTCCAACCAGTCAGGAAGTCTACATCTTTCTACGTGGCTAGTTGGCTTAACTAACTGTTGTGAATTTCATTGATTTGGGAGGCTAGGTTTTGATTTGACGGCCACTAGCTAACTCTTTTCCAGCCTGACCTTATGTCAGCTAACACTGTCCCCATTGTCGAGGAAGGCGATAACTAGTCATGCATACGTAACACGTGTCCTAACCATCTCGGTCGGTGTAACTTCACGGCCTAGTGGATTGATTTCCCCTCCTCCTTACCTAGCACTCCACCGAAGCCTGCCCTCAATATTGCTCACCTTATTATACCACTTCATACGGAAGATAGAATGCAGGCACCTATGATCGAAGACAGCTAATCTTTTCATGTCTACCACTCTCAGTGAATTTAGTTTGCTGTTTGATGCGGGCTGTAATGATTTAACATTGGAATGCAGTAGATGTTCATTTTGTTTAATTTGAGACAGACTCATCATCCTTAGTGTGAAAGTGATGATTTCCCCAAAGAGACTCAAGCACCAGCCCCATCGTTGTAAAACACCGGCAGTAGCTAACATTTCGGTCAATCAGTCAGACAGTCAGTCAGTCAGCGGGGTAAAACACAACAGAATTGACTTAAATAAGTAATACATAATTTTCTGGTGCTGATTTTTAATGATTTCATTGGTCATAGTTTCGATCACGAGCTGAGATCAGGGAAACTACAGCAAGGAGTGTTGGACAGCCGTCCTGTCCTAGTTTAGGACTCTTCAGTAGTACACACCCACCGCCAAGGTTCAAACTTAAGACCTACCGGTTACAAGGTGGACTTCTAAACTGTTGAGTTACTGGGACCCGACCCAATGGCTAATCCATGTATTCCAATTCTTGCCAATTCGCGTGATACATGGATATAGTGCAACTACTAGGCGATGTCATCGGTGAGATGCCATCTCGTGATCAAGCCTGATACATATCTTGATATGTATCCACATATATATATATATATGTATGGTGATCTCCCTTTCTGTTGCTCGCTTAGTCTGTGACCATTTCACTTGTATGAACCTGTCTCCTTTAATAATGTATATTCTCCTTATATTATATTATATATAATATGAGTGTTTGTTGACAGTCCGTTGCTTGGTGACATATATCCATATATGGTGGTTGTTGACATGTCTGTTATATTTCGCTATGTATATATGGATCGATACTTCATTATAATTAGCCATTCATGTTAAGACTGTCTATTGATTTGTTCACACACTTGTCTGGACATTCATATATATTTCGCTCTCACAAACTTGTGTGACTCTTCTTTGGTGTGATACCACGGATTGCTTCTCCTTGTGTTTGGAAAATAGAAGTATCATCGCAAACCTAGTGGTCTTCTGATTTCCGCCTTCTTGCATCAGGACTATTAAATTCTCGACCAGTACATAACAATAATTTGGCGACGAGTACATAACATATCTATAAAACACAAAATAATTAAGCAAGGAATATTCTTTTCGATAAATTCCTCTTCTGGCCCTACAATTATATATGCATGTTTATATACATAGAATATTCTAGATTAGTAGTTAATGTCAATATTAGTGTTTTTTAAATAATATCGATTTGTACAGTGAGATCACAATGGAATTACAGCTCATTAAAGATGCTTAAATTATATTAGTAATAAAGATATAATAGCGAATAGAATATCAACTAAAATTAGGGAAATTTCTACAAAAAATTGAGGATCACTCGAACCTAGATGACCGTGATAAGGATAATTTCTGAATTAACTTTCTTTTGGATGCATAAATTAGGTTTGTTAATATGGATCCCAAACATTGAACTCATAAGGCTAATTGAGATTCATTGGTATGAGGTAAATGACTCTGAAAGCCGCCTTGTTAACATCAATCTTGTGTTCTGTATCCACAAGATGAGATAGAATAGCGCTATGTGAATAGATTTCATTTCTCTTTTGCTTAACCACGCAAGGTGATGTTCGGAAATCCATCGATAAACACACCTTATTGTACGGCATGTGCAACTAACTGTCTCCACAGGAGCAGTTAAATTGGTAGATATACATGGAAAAGGCGAAATTAAACAGTTTGTCTTTTACTCCTGAACGCAAAGGAATGGTTTTGAAAAGAGAGAGTAATACGGCAGCAGGGGATGCTCTTTTCACCGCCTTATTTCTAAGGCGCTGCTCTGTGTTAGTATCTCGCTGATGTTGTCCCCAAGGAGCCAGTTACATATGCGTGTTTCTCGTCGAATTTCCGAACATCAACCTGCACAGTGGTTGGTTAAGCAAAGGACAAACAAAATCTATTCACATAGCGCTATTCTATCTCATCTTGTGGATACAGAACACAAGACTGATTGATGTTAACCAGGGGGCTTTCAGGGTCATTTACCGCATGCCTACGAACCTCACTTTCGCCTTAAGTGTTCGACTACTAAATATTGCTGAGGCTGGCCGTTGGGATGCATATTAACAAGCCTAATTTGTGCATCCAAAAGAAAGTTAGTTCAGACATTATCCTTAGCTTGGCTGTCAATCTAGGTTTGAATGATCCTGAATTTTTGTGGAATTTTGCTAATTTTAGTTGATATTATATTCGCTATTATATCTTTATTACTAATATAATTTAAGCAGCTTTAATGAACTGTGGTGATTCCATTGTGATCTCACTGTACAAATCGATATTACTTAAAAGCACACTAATATTGTTATTGACTACTAATCTAGTTTTATTTATTTAAACGCAGAAAAAACTTGGTACAATATGGAACCAAGAAGGATGCACCACACAATAATAATAAAACATAGATCAAAAGTAAAAATATAAGTAGAGAACGGATAAAGAACTTCATGTGGAAGGAAAACAGTCATGCTTAACAAGTCCAAACAGTATTCGTTAACTATCATCGGGTTAGGAAGAAAGAAGGAAATTGCAACATGGCCGCCATTGATTACAATTCTTGGCCATATCCGATAACGTTTCAAGCTATCTCGCGGACTCCAACCAGGGAGTCGTGACACACCAACCGATGCTAATCTAGCACAAACGTCCTTCATCCCACGACGCCATGTCATGGACTGACCACCTCTCCGCCTTTTCCATCCCGTCCCAGGGCTGGCTGGCGAACAGAGACCTGTACGAAAGCTTCTGGGATGACAATTGCAGCACATGTCCAAGCCACTACTAATCTAGAATATTCCGTGTATATAAACACACACACACACATATTTATATAATTGTAGAGCCAGAAGAGGAAATTCTTGAAAAGGATATTCTTTGCTCGCTCGATTATTTTGTGTTTTATAGATGTCTGAATGAATGAATATTTTTGATACATATTTTTATTTTAATTATTCCCCCCCACTCTCTCTCTCTGTCTGCTGTTACGTGTTCACTGTTGACTGTGCTTTTGTTTTGCTCTCTCTCCCTCCTATCACAGTCAACCTGAAGCGGCTTTACGTCTTTTGGGTAAAGCCACTGCGGTTCCATCGCGTAAAGTCGACTACTATGATCGTTCTGAACCGGTCCAGTCAAGATTGCATAAATCTCTTCGTCTATGGACATTGTACACTGATTTAGAAGAAAGTTTTGGTACATTTGAAACAACAAAGGTAAGATTTTCAAACTAGATGTTTTGTTTATATATGTATTTGCCTTATTGCTGAATTATCAATGGTATTAATCTATGTGTGTAAAACTTGGGTACTGTGGTTGTATGTAATTCCATATTAAATTTGTTTATTGGATATGTCACACGGACAGTGTCTGTCTAGATCAGTGGTAACGTCTCTGACTGCAGGCTGTACTGCGTGATGCGGTTTCGAATCTCAGATGGGTGGGACATGAGTTCCTCCAAGGCTGTTGCAGATACATATTGCTGACTGCACTGGTGAGTGCCAACTAGCACGAAACCTAGGTCCAAGGCGGGGCTTCCTGTGGCCGATTGCCTCCAACCATCTTATATCATCAAATCAATGTGCACCATGATGGCGAGCTTCGCGTTTCCATTGCCTTCGGTTTTCTGCCAACTTTTTCACCCCGCTTCAAGTCTGCCCACATGCTTTCATCTCCTCTTCACATGACCTACTCCAAGTCACCCCACCGTGAGATGACCAACTCACCGCTTCCCTTTCGGGTTCGACTCGAGCGATGGGTTGTCTAGCGATGTCACTTGATGGTTTCCTCAGCGTATGGCCAATCCATCTCCATTTCTTCACAGTAGTTACTGGTGTCAAATCAAAACAGTGTCTGTCTTTTTAGTACTTAGTTCCCTTACATTCCGATTGCGTCGGTGGCGCAAAGATAGAATCCTCGCCAATCACGCACGTGTTGTCTGGGTTTGATCCCCCAACCACTGATGCACTCCTTTACCTCGCTAAGCCAGTAAAGAGGGAACGTTGGGCATGGGGTGGCTAGCAAACCCATCCCGTAAAATTAAATACCATGTCTACCGAAACTTCAAAGCTCTGTAGCTTGAAGCCCTGTATTCCACTGGGAACGCTTTTTCTATTCCTTCACGTTCGCAGTGGAGCATAGGACGCCTTCAACCTAGAGCTTTGAAGTTTCCGTAGCAATGGCATTTATTTTTACAGGATGGGGTTGCTAGCCTAATGCCCAAGTTGACCTCTATAGCGACCTTAATTATACCAGATTAGAGAGTTTTTAAAAGTGTACCGGCCGGGAATCGAACCTCGGACCATGTGGGTGTGCGTGTGAAAAAGCGGCTCAGAGATAGTTACCAACTGTACCCTACAGCATTCATGAGTTATACATAAGTGAGGAGAATACGACGATCTCAGCTTACAAACGCACACATACAGTGTGAAACAGTATTATTATTTATTGGATGACGTTTCGAACACAACTTATTCTTCATGGTTCTTCATATCGTTAGTTTTAACTACACAACTTCGAAACTTTCGTTTTATAGTTTTCGTTTCTCCTACCTATTCGTCGTAGGGGTAGTAGGATTTTTCAGATGTCCGAAATAGATGTTGAATCATTCTAATTTCACGTATTCCCCTCAGTTGATTCGATAAACAAAGCTTCAGTCAGTTATCAATCTCTCCCTCCGCCCTATTGCATTAGATTTTAGAACTGTCATCTTATCGCATCACATCATATATTGTGTGGTTGTATGTAATTGCATGTAGTGTAGTGTAGTGTAGTGCTGTAGCTGAACTATTCTCTAGATTTCTTATCTTTTTCGGGTTAACCAATCTAGATTTTGCTGCTAGGTTTTTATGCTCGGCTAGTCTGACTCACTGCCCTCCTGTTCTACTAGTTTGACCTATGTATTTGACCTCACTGACAATCATTGCAGACAGGCACTGTATTAGACGAACTAGATTGTTTTGTTGAAAAGGCTCCACAGGATTGATCCTCCTCTAACCGACAAAGCTTGTTTCTAATTGAGTTTGTGGGTGGGTGGGTGGTTTGAATGGCAGCAGCCACTTTTATTGATGGCTGCCTTGTTAAGAAATCTGCGTAAGTTAGAGAAACATTGGAAAACCTGGGAGTACTGAACGGCTATTTCGTCATAGCTTGGGACTCTTCAGCAGTACGCAACCACCGGGATTCGACTCCAGGACCTTCCGGTTACAAGGCTAGCGAGCTCGTATACCATTAAGCCACTGGGACCCGATCCAATGGTCCTTGAATTCTAACTTCTGCCAATTCACGACATAGCGCGACCGCTAGCCAATGTCTTCGGCGAGTATTTGTCCTCACACCCAACCGGCTCTACCCTACTGGTCACGAATTCCCACTGGAACCCAGGTAACTACCTACCTGAATAGGGCCAGTCGCCAGTGAGCATCTCATTGGTATTTAAGTGTTTGTTTGTAGGGATTTGGTTGGTTTCAGGATTTCATCATGAGCTGATATTAGTTAGTTAGGATTATTGGAAGACCTGGGAGTACTGGACGGCTATTTCGTCCTAGTTTGGGACTCTTCAGCAGTACGCCACCACCGGGATTCGAACCCAGGACCTTCCGGTTACAAGGCTAGCGAGCTCGTATACCATTAAGCCGGGTGCAGCGGGTCGGGTGTGAGGACAAATACTCGCCGAAGACATTGGCTAGTGGTTGCGCTATGTCGTGAATTGGCAGAAGTTAGAATTCAAGGACCATTGGATCGGGTCCCAGTGGCTTAATGGTATACGAGCTCGCTAGCCTTGTAACCGGAAGGTCCTGGAGTCGAATCCCGGTGGTTGCGTACTGCTGAAGAGTCCCAAGCTATGACGAAATAGCCGTTCAGTACTCCCAGGTCTTCCAATAATCCTAACTAACTAATGTCAGCTCATGATGAAATCCTGAAACCAACCAAATCCCTACAAACCAACACTTAAATCTGCGTAGAGTGGTTTCCGAGCTTCCTTCTTTGTATGGAATTACTACTGATGATTTCGATTCCTTATTGTTAGAGTTGTCATTATCCTGCGCAAGTTTGACGTGCATGTCGTCATTAATATTATTGTTATTATCACTATCACTACTACTATTATTATTAATTCTATTTTTACATTTTCCTACATGCTTTCTGATTAATTTATCAGGGTAATTATTAAGTTTCAAAGCTTCTCTTATAAGCCTCACTTACTGTCTTAGATTTTGCTTTGTACTATTTAACATTTTTACCCCTTTACTTAAACATTTCATTAATCCTATTTTTACTGACCTTGATGTAGGATGGACCATGATCCCAATATCGCTTTGTGTGTGTGTACAATTTCTGTAAATACTAGTGTTTAACTCTCCATCTTGTTTCGTTTCTCTGTTATCATATGTAAGATGATGCTACAGGACTGGAGTACATCGACTAACTCCTCGCTTAAAGATAAGGAGTGAATTGATAGAGAGTGTCGACCAATTCATTTATTCGGGGAGTTGCATCAGCCAACACCAACGGGGTTGATCGCTGATGAAATATCAGCACGGATAGAGAAGTCTCATTTGCCATTTGCTTGCCAACTTACACCATCTCCCACTTAGTAGACGTAATATCCGGCTAGGTGGCTGTCAGTCAAAGAACATCTGTACTTCTCAGCAGTTCTCTCCGTCTTCCTTTACGGTTGTGAGTGATACATAGTCGTTGAAAGTGGAAGATATGAAAAGCCTACTTAGTTAGCTGTCTTTGATCATAGGTGCCTGTGTCCCATCTGTCGTCTTAGTTGGTACAATAAGATGAGATAAGATATTGAGTTGGTGAGGCATCAGTCGAGTGAGTGCTAGGTAAGGAGGAGGGGAAATTAATCGACGAGTTGGTTGTGAAGCAAATGCGTCGATTGAAAGAGACATGTGTTACGCATGCATATTGTCTAGCCATCCATCGCCTTCCTCGACAGCGACGGGAAATGTTGGCTGTCGTCTGACATAGGATGGATAATGGATCAGGTTGGAAAAGAGTTAGCTATTGGTTGGGTCAAACGAAAACATGGCTTCATCAGTCAGTGAAATCTATAACAGTTAGCTTAAGACAGTCAGCCACGTGTAAACCTGGTGACTAGCTGGTTGGTTGAGGCTCTTGGGATGGTAGGAACCAATGAAGACTGGAGGCATTTCGTGATATGGCTGCCTGGCGGATATGCATTCACTCTTTTGTGATTTGTCATATCCACTAGAACTCTATTGTTCTTCCATATTACCACTATTCTTTTGAATGTGTTTTTGTTGTCTTCTCTTGGTTTGTGTGGTACATGGAGGGAGTGTGGCAACTTGAACTTTTGGACATCTGTGGGAAGTTTTACATTGAAACCATTCAATCGTTTTCATAATACAGTATACTATTGGAAGCTTCTTATTTTCATGAATTTCCAGCGCATAAGTGTAGCGAATGGTCTCTACCTTCTAGTTGATGTATTCGAAGTTGTGTAGTTATTACACACGATCGATGACATGATCTGTGCTCAATGTCTGCCTCTGTCTGTTTTCGACATAGAACTTTGCACCGATGTGCAACAGTTCAAGTCGCCACACTCCCTCCATGTAGCACACAAAGCAACAGAAGAAAGTAAAAAGAAATGCATAATAGAGACAGTAAACACAGATGTGAGACAAAGGAATAGTAATAACGAAGAACAATATAGTTTCATTGTAAGTCATAAGTCACAAAGAGTGGATGCATCTGCGCCAAGCAGCCAGTGAGAACTATTTTGAGCCATATCACCAATTGTTTCCAGCCTTCGTTGGTTTTTAGCGTCCCGAGGATTCCACTCAGTCAGGAAGTCTACACCTTCCTACGTGGCTTAAACTAACCGTTGTGGATTCCACTGACTGATTAAACCGTGTTTTGATTTGACAGCCGCTAGCTCTTTTCCAGTCTGACCCTATGTCTGCTAACATTGCCAGTCATCCGAGGGAGACGATGGGTAGACAGGTGTAACACATGTCCTGACCATCTCAGTCGATGTAACTCCACACCCTCGTCTATTGATTTTCCCTCCTTACCTAGCACTCCACCGAGGTCTAACCTCAATATTGCTCACCTTATTATACCACTTCACACGGGAGGTAGATTGCAGACACCTATTATCGAAGACAACTAATCTTTTCATGTCTTCCACTCTCAATGGCCAGGTCTGACTCACAGCCATAAAAGAGGACGGAGCGGACTGATGGAGCAGTACACCCGCCTTTTGGTCGACAGCCAGAGACGGTGTAAACTAGCATATGCAAAACTAGCCCTCTGTAGCCGTATGAAGCTCACTGGAGCTCACCGGCAGACGTATGGACAAAGGGCTTGTTGGATGTCCTGGATGTCTGGCCTTATTCAAAAAGGCGTATGAACCGAACTCCGGTCATCGGCTGCCAATGGATAGTGGACTCCTTACTCCACTCCTACTGCCTTGTAGGTCACACTTGGTTGTGTAAAGGCTAGAGCTGCACTCTCAAACAAAAGGCCGAGCGATTCTGGGGACATCACTCGTACCAAATTCCCATGAAACTTCATGAACTCTCTTACAAATTGCCACGCCTGGGCAGCGATGATTCGAGACGTTCATGAAGCCGGCTCATCCTCCCGTAGGAGATAGCCGAAGTAAAGTAAGTAAGTAAGTACTGAGATATCGTCAGAGATCAACCCGTTGGCGTCGGCTGATACAGCTTCGGAAATAAGTGAAGCGGTCAACGTGCTGTACCACTTCACTGCCTATTTCGAAACTAGGAGTCAGTGTATTCCAGTCCTGTAACATCATCTTACATTTGACGGGAGCGAATCGCATGGCAAACATTCGTAGATTGCTGCTCAGCTCAAGGTGTTTAGAAGACTTTGCATTATGTCAGCTCAATTACTAGTCATCCGGTAGACAACAAGACTGTTTCACAAATTAATATGAAATTACATATATTATCGCAGTGTCCATGGTTTATACATATATATATATATATATATATATATTGCTCCCTTTTTATGAGCTGATGGTTTTTTGTTGATACCCATTTATTTATATATTTTCTGTTTTTCTTTTAATAGGCTGCTTATGATCGAATGATTGATCTGCGTATAGCAACTCCTCAGATTATAATGAATTATGCTTTATTCCTTGAAGAGTTGAATTACTTTGAAGAAGCTTTCAAGGTAGATTTTCGCCTTCTAATTTTTTTCTTCTGTTTAATGTCGTCTCGTCTTTCAACTTATGTGTCGATGTAATTCTACGAGTTGCTAATCAAAACATACTTTAACTAGATCTCGTGAAGTCGTATGACAGTCGGTCAATGCAGTTGTCATCTGAGACTGATGACAACCAGTGGTGCTGACGTTGTGGAGTGGCGTCGTATGTTTCCGTTTAATAGAAAAACAAAATTTAATTTCATCATAGATGTGCTAATCTCGATGTGACTTTGATCATCGTCTACGACTTTAGAATTGATTTGTTGATGGTGATTTGGAGTATGTGTGTGTGTGTGGAGTATGTGAAAACGAGGAGCCTTGAGCAGATATCATTTTTGTATGTTTGGCACACAATCGATACGCCCTTATATCAAATACAAGATCAAATTTTACAGGACTGACTCTGTAATGAGGCCTAGTTTATTGGTACGTAGTCGAATTTGTTGAGCTTGTTTGAATGCTTCACACTTATTTGAACTGATTGCTGACAAAATTTTCAGTCACTAACATGTCTATACACGATATCTGAGTGTTGATTAAACAACGTGTGTGGGCAACTCTAAAGAATACCAGCCCAAACCGAAACGACCTAGCGAACGCACAAGTGACCTTGCCAAGGACAACCGCGGCCAATCAGAAGGCTAAAAAAAACGGCGCATAATTTTTATAAAATATCGTTTATATAGAAGTAGTGCAATGTTTAAAAAAATAGTTACAAAGGGTAACTTTCTCGTATATTTGTGCGTCGGTGGCATAGCGGTTAGGACGCTTGCCGACCATGCACATGGTCCGGGGTTCGATCCCGGCCACCGACACACTCCTCCTTTACCTCGCTAAGCCAGAAATAATGCTGGTAAAGAGGAAAGGTTGGGTATGAGGCTAGCAACCCCATCCTGTAAAATAAACACTGCTACAGAAACACTTCATGCCACTAGTTTGAAGGCGCCCTATGTTCCAATGGGGAACGTGAAGGAAAAAAATATGTTGCAGAAAAACCTCCCAATTTCTCATAGGAATCTTCGTACTCATGTTAAACCAAGTCCTGTGCATAAAGTCATCGATATAACTGTATATCATTGGATTTCTTCATTCATGTGCGTCGGTGGCACAATGGTTAGGACTCTTGCCGACCATGCACATGGTCCGGGGTTCGAGCCCACGCCGACGCACACCTGATATCTATGGTCGACCTGCGAATTTTGGGCTACCGATATCCACGCTGAAAATTCCATACTTGTACCAAAAATACGGTGTGGAATCAAGCTGTAATCAAAAATAAAAAAAAAATAAAAAAATAAAATAGATCTGATACGTTTTTTTAGGTGACTCCAGAAACTTTTGATGGAATTAGTGTGTGAGTTCCATCAAAAGGATTGAGAAAATCATTTGCGTATGGTTGACCACTTGATGAATACAGCCCAGATTCGATAACTGACTGTAACTGCTCCATTCATTTGTATGAATAGATAGTCGTCCCAGGCAGCACTAAGCGCTGGATAATAGGCAATAATACATCTGCACTGCAATTGAAGATCGTCTCAATATAATATCCTTTCTGGAGGCTGGTGTCATATATCCTCAACACCCTATTGCTGATTCGTACTCAATCTCCCTCGATTATATTTTCTTTTTATCAAAAGTACCCAAGGAATCTGTAAATTAAAAACGAACGACATACGTTCTCGAATTGATTTTCTGGTTCGGCACTCATTTCACCAACAAATAAACCCATCGATGCACCTTTTGTATCTTTGCATATGAATGACACCTCCACATTTGCAATTTTTGGACCTTACTATGACTCCGTTCTCCAAACAGTGATCCAAACAAGATCTGGAGCGAATTTTGCAACGTCAAAGGTGTACAGCACGCATAAGTACGTCTGGATAAACAGAGTCACCTGTTTGGTTGCTCAAGGTCATTTGTCCGTTGTCCGTTGATCGTTTCGGTTTGGGCTGCTATTTCTTTAGAGTTGCCAACGTGTGAATGAGGAGTAGTTCACTCTATCCTTCTTTATGTTTGTGAGATGTATCTGTTGAAAGATAAAGATCTGAAGGGGTTAGCTGTCTTTGTCTACAGATTTTGTCTACATTTTATCCCCCGTCGCAAGGGGTATAATGTGTGGCGGGGGAGTAAAAATGAATTTGGATGTAGAGTATTTAGGTAAGTGGGAATCTACAGCCGGTGGGTGTGTTTGTGTGAACTTCCATATTACTGTGTTTATTAGATGTATCACACAGTCACTGAAACAGTACTAATACATACTAGATGACACAGTTTCAAACAAAATTTATTATTGTTCATAATCATAACGACTTCGAAACTTTCGTTTTAGAGTTTTCTTTATTCTCTCCTATTTCTCGTCGTTAGGGTAGTAGAATTTTCCAGATATCTGGGTGGACAGGTGTTGAATCATTCTAATTACACGTATTCCCCTCAGTTGATTCGATAAACAAAGCTTCAGTCAGTTATCAATCTCTCCCTCAGACGTATTACATTAGATTTTAGAACTGTCATCCTATACCATCACATCGTATTGTATGGTTGTATGTAATTGCATATATTGAGAGATAAAGCTGAACTATTCTCTAGATTTCTGATTTTATTCGGGTCAGCCAATCTAGATTTTGCTGCTAGGTTTTTATGCTCGGCTAGTCTGACTCACTGAACCTGTTCTACTACTTTTGACCTATGTATTTGATCTCACTGACAATCATTGCATGTAGGGTATTAGATAAACTAAATTGTTTTGTTTTAAAAACTCCATAGGATTGATACTTTAACTGAAGAAGCTTGTTTCTAATTGAGTTTGTGGGTGGGTGGGTGATTTGGATGCCAGCAGCAACTTTTATTCCTGGCAGCCTTGTTAGGAATTCTGCGTAAGGTGGTTTCCGAGGTTCCTTCTTTGTATGGAATTACTACTGATGATTTAATGACGGCGTGCATGTCGAACATGCGTAGAATAATGACAACACTAACAATAAGGAATATAAGTAATCAGTAGCGCTTCCATGCAAAAAAAGAACCTCGGAAACCACCTTACGCAGAATTATTAACAAGGCAGACAGGAATAAAAGTGGCTGGCATTCAAACCACCCACCCACCCACAAACTCAATTAGAAACAAGCTTCGCCTGTTAGAGGATCAATCCTGTGGAGCAGTCCAATTAAACAAAACAATTAAGTTTATCTAATACCCTACCTGCAATGATTGTCAGTGAGATCAAATACATAGGTCAAAAGTAGTAGAACAAGGGCAGTCAGTCAGACGAGTCGAACATAAAAACCTAGCAGCAAAATCTGGATTGGCTAACCCAAATAAGATTAGAAAAATCTAGAGAATAGTTCAGCCATAGCACTACACTACACTACACTACATGCAATTGCACATACAACCATACAATACGATGTGATGGGATAAGATGACAGTTCTAAAATCTAATGTAGGGTGGTGGGAGAGAGAGACACTGATAATTGACTGAAGCTTTATTTATCGAATCAACGTATAATAGAAATTATTCAAAACTTGTCCATCTGGACATCTTGAAAATTCTACTCTCCCAACTACGACAAATGTCAAAGAAAGATATAAAACTATTAAACTGGTGTTTGGAAGTTGTGTGATTATAACTGATGAAATGATGATAATGATTCATGTGTAATAATACTGTTTCACTGACAAACTAATATCGATTTAGTTAGTAGCATAGTGTCCAAGTTTTACACGTACATTAATTGTGTGAACCTTCGGTCGATTGAGACAGCTAGACAATGTATCACGCATATACTCACCCATCGGTTAATAATAGTCGACATATCTGTGTAATATCTGTTGTGTGAAAAAAGTTCTAAGGGTTGATACTACTAATACTACTAACTACCTGATTGTGTTGGAATTTGAGTAGGCGAAGCCGAATTCTTAGTCAACAACCAACTGACTGAATATGACTAATTGGTGTTTAGCCAATGAATTTTACAACTTTCTTAGGATGATGATTATTTACCCCAGTACTACCCCGGCTATCGATTAATTCATCCTTATGAAAGTTTGAATTACCATCGAAATAATGCTATCGTTTTCAAGTATTGATTTTGTAGGGATTTTTGTTGTTGTTGTTGAGATGGAGGATTTCATCATGAACTGACATCAGTTAGAGAACCACTGGAAAACTAGCCAAGGAGTACTGGACAGCTGTTTCGTCAGCCTAGTTGGGGACTCTAGTAGTACGCAGCCACCGGGGTTCGAAGACGCTGTGAAATAGTCACGCTATGTCGTGAATTAGCAGCAGTTAGAATTCATTGGCTGGCTATTGAATCGGGTCGCAGTGGTTGGCCAAATGGTCTACGAGATAGCTCGCCTTGTAACCAAAAGGCCATGGGTTCGAACCCCCTGTGGTGGGTGCGAACTGATGAAGTGGAGTCCCAAACTAGGCTGACGAAACAGCTGACTGTCCAGTACTTCCTGTTGCTGGTTTTCCAATGGGGCTCTGTAACTGATGTCATCTCATGATGAAATCCTCCATCCAATACTATTTTCTGACCAATGACAATAAAATCCTTCTTTTCACTGTCGATTTTCTATGAATTAAGTGAGGAATTCTTGCGTATTAGGGTTTGTAGCGATGACCCATAGGTGAAGGCTTATGTAAGTTGAAAAACTGTTTTAGTGATTAAGAGACTGTGTTTTGGGTAGATTAATTACGGAAGCCTTCGAAGTGAGGACGGGAGTGAGGCAAGCCGGTCGACTATCGCCAATGATCTTCCTGATTGCAAAAGATTGGTTGATGCGACAGACAACGGGCAATGAAGAAACAGGCATAAAATGGACTCACACAAAAAACTTGGAGGATCTGGACTTCGCCGATGACACATATATATGTCTGATTTCCCACAAACTGGAAGATATGCAAGTGATAAAAAGCAACAAGTTGACAGAAGAAGCATCAAAGATAGGACTTCAAGTGAACACAGAGAAAACACAGGTGATGAAGATTCCTGACCAACATCAACAACCACAGCAACAACAGACAACATTCAGCATAAATGGGAGGAACCTGAAAGAAACAACCTCCTTTAGCTACCTACTCACCAATCTAGGAAGAATCGTTTCAACTTCAGGCGGAACTGACGAGGGTGTCAAAGCCAGAATAGCAAAAGCAAGACAAGCTTTCATTACTCCTAAGTCTGTATGGAGGTCAGCAGCACTCAGCATGAAAAGAAAACATCCGGATTTTCAACTCCAATGTGAAGTCGGTGCTACTCGTTATATGGATCATAGACTTGGCGAATCATAAAGAGCATCTCAAACAAGCTACAGACCATCAACAGTTGTCTTCGCTCAATACTCAAGATCAGATGGCCGGCCAGAAAAGATCAGCAACAGGAAGCAAACGAACCAGGAACCGATTGTGAAACAAATAGGCAGGAAGAAATGGAGATGGATTGGCCATACTCTGAGGAAACAAACCATCAAGTGACATCACTAGACAAGCCATCGCTTTAGTGGAACCCGAAAGGGAAGAGGCGAGTTGGTCGTCAGTGTGAGGGTGACTTTGAAGAGGTCATGTGAAGAAGAGATGAAAGCATGTGAGCAGACTTGGAGCGGGGTGAAAATGTTGGCAGAATACCGAAGGCAATGGAGACGCGCAGCTGAAGCCTTATGTTCCTCTAGGAACTAAAGGATACAATAATATAATATAAGGTGAGAGAGATTCCATTTAGCAACATACAAAGTTTTGTGGAGACATCACTCACCGGCTTACGTGTTTGCTTTATAATCACTATGGGTCTGTGGGTGGGAATCCTGTTTCGTCTATTTCAGTAACTGGGGAACTGCACAGCCTCATCATCATCAGCCGTCGTAGTTGGGTACATGAAAAAATCTGTTTGGAGTAACTAACTGGGTTATATAATTTTCATTTATGTCACAGTGGATAGATGATACTACCATTGTTACTATTATTAGAACGTCAAATTTTATCCATAATGGGGAGGGGTACCAGAAGATGCGACAGTTGGAGTACTACCTAAACACCCAGACCAAAGCAGGTGGTGGTTGTCATAGAAAGGAGCCGCTCTCCGGAGTCTTTAACTTGATGTCTAATCGACAAGACCAGTGGGTGTTAGCCCATCAAGAGATGCATTCCCATGATTGTTGTTGACCAAAGCAGGTTGAAGTCGTGACCAGTAGGTTACAGCAGATCGAGTGTGAGGACAAATACTCGCCGAAGACATTGGCTAGCGGTCGCGTTATGTCGTGAATTGGCGGAAGTTAGAATTTATGGACTGGTCATTGGATCGGGTCCCAGTGGCTCAATGGTCTACGAGCTCGCTAGCCTTGTGACCAGAAGGTCCTGGGTTCGAACCCCGGTGGTGGGTGCGTACTGTTGAAGAGTTCCAAACTAGGCCAACGAAACAGCTGTCCAGTACTCCCTGATTGGTTTTCCAATGGTTCTCTAACCAATGTGTCAGCTCATGATGAGAGGCCTGGTTGTAAGCGGTAGACGTTTGTTCTCACCGATTCATTACTGTGAGGAACACGCAATAAAATAGGAGTTATATGTCGGATTATAAATTCGTGGTAACATAACAGTATTATGTAGAGCATGTTTACTCACTGTCTCTCTCTACTTTTCTTCCTATTTAGGCATATGAAAAAGGTGTTGCATTATTCCGTTGGCCAAATGTTTATGATATATGGGCTACTTATCTGGCGAAATTTATTGAACGTTATGTAAGTATTTTGCATGTGTATCCTGTTTTGTTTTGCCTTTAACGTGTCATATTCTAATTGTTAATGCAGGTTATTCTGGTTGGTGAGGCTGACTACCAGTGGAGTCTAGAGCTCACATTTCGTCTTATTTTAGGACTTCTCAACTGAATGTGTGTATCTGTTTGTCTGTCTGCTGCTGATGATTCCTAATTCCCAGATAAAATTGGAAACAAAGGGTTTGGGTTAAATATTAGGAAGCAGTCGTTAGGGGAAGCTATGCATCTAAGTTTTACTTGGTGATTGTGACTCGTGTATCTGAGAACTCGAAGGAAGTGATGCCGTCCCAGAGATAGAATCCTGTGTCGTCATCCGGTGTGTGGTGGTGGTGATACTTCAGTCAAAAACATCACCACTGAGCTATTCAGGTCCCCAATTCTTTCTTTTATTCTTTTACGTTCCCCCAGTGGAACATAGGGCGGCTTCAAGCTAGAGGCTTGAAGTTTTGTGTAACAGCAGTGGTGATTATTTTTTTTACAGGATTAGGTTGTTAGCCAACTCATGCTCAACCTTCCATCTTTACCAGTCTGATTTACTGGCTTAGCGAGGTAAAGGGATGCGTCCGTTGGCTGGGGGTGGGGATCGAACCCCGGACCACAACCATGATGATCTTGAAATCCATGGTCAGGGTTGACAGAGTGACAGAAGTTGATCAGGTGTTCCACAATAGGGCTTCGCACACACTTCCTTTCTCCTTTGTAAAACCATTCAGCTGGAATATGTTCTCGTATCCATGTGGAAAGTGGCGTCCTCTGACTAAGGTCAGTGTAACTTGCTCCACAAGAGGAGCAGGTGAATTGATAGATGTACATGGAGGCAGCCAGACGCGGCCAGCTTATCTTTTACAGAGATAGAGAACAACTTGAAGCAGCTGGTGAACGTCATTTGTAATTTTGCTGCAAAGAACGTCTTACTGACTGATTTTTTGTGGAGAGACGATTTTTGAGCATATCTGAAGAAGCTTGATCACCTTTGAATTCCAAGTTCATGAATAAGGTGTTTTCTTTGTAACTGAGTGAGTCGGTGACCAGTTTAGACTGCTTATCTTTCATGCTGCTGTCAGCAGACTCGCTTTATCTGTTTAGCATATTGCTTTATGTACTAAGCTTAACCTCTTGTAATCAATCCTTACATTATACGTCAAATGTCAGCAGTTTATATGTGTTATGCTGTTGGGCTGACGTCGAATTGCGTTAATGTATTTTTCTTTCACTCTTCTGCATTCCGAGTGAAGTTTTCGTGGCTATGATGTCACTTTTATAGAAGAGGATTGTTAGCCTTCATGCCCAACGTCTTCGCCCTTGCCCAAGTGTCCTACACTTATTTATTTATTTATTATTTATTTAAACGCATATAAACTTGGTACAATATGGCACCAAGAAGGATGCGCCACACAATAATAATAATAAAACAACATAGATCAAAAGAAAAAAAGAAAGAAGAGAAAAAAGTGTATATATAAGTAGAGAACGGATAAAGAACTTCATCTGGAAGGAAAACAGTCATGCTTAACAAGTTCATTCAAACAGTATTCGTTAACTATCATCAGGAAGGGAAGAAAGAAGGAAATCGCAACACTTGTAATAGCACGCGATAAGTTTCATTGATTGTTTGTTGCGTTATTCAATTTATTGTGTGTGAGGGCTTAGATACTGCCCGGGCTCCCAGACCGAAGCAGGTGATTTTATTAAGGGACCACCCCTTCCGAGCCTTTGGCTTGGAGTCTAATCCGCAAGGCAGCGGAGCAACGTCAGTAGCTACATTCCCATGGTTTCCGGTGACCCATCTGGGTTCATACGCCATTTGATCCGATTGGATACTGGAGCCCATGTACCCCATGGTAACTGATTTTAGTTTAACCGCTATCCAGGAAACCTTCCTGACATGGTAGGACCTGCAGGGACAGAGTCCCAGTCAGTTTAGCATGTTGGGTCATTACGGTATTCAAGCCCGACCACCACGACAAGGTAGCAGTTATCGGCCAGGGTCCTACACTGGCCGGTGATAAACCAAACGCGATCTGTTATATTCGATTTTTGATTATTATCATTGTTATATCTTTTTTATCGTATTTTTTTTCTTAAACATTAGGGTGGAAATAAACTGGAACGTGCTCGAGACTTATTTGAACAATGTTTAGAAAAGTGTCCAGCAAAATATGCTAAAGGTAGGTGGGTGGGTGGGTGGTTATTCCCTTTTTTTCAACTCTCCGATTACATTAATGGATAGTATGGTATGATTATTTCTTTTTTCATTTGTGTTCCGAGTGAAACGTATAGCTTCAAGGCTTTATAGCTTGGAACTTATAATGTTGCATTAATGTTTCTCACTACGGGGTGAAGTAGCTCGTTCTATCTCTCGCCTTACGTGAGCAATATTGAGGTTAGGCGTCGATTGAGTGAGTGGTAGGTAATGAGGAGGAAAATCAATCAAATCGACTAGCTGGTTGTGAAGCAGATGCGTTGATTGACAGAGAGATGGTGTTAGGAGATATGTTACGCATGCATGCATTCCTAGCCATCTATCGCCTTCCTCGACAATGGAGGCGATGTTAGCCGTTCATATAGCATGGATGGCGGATGAGGTTGGAAAACAGTTAGCTTTGGTGGGGTCAGACGAAAACATGGCGTCATCAGTCAGTCAATGAAATCTATAACAGTTAGTTTAAGCTAACCAGCCAGCCAGCCATCCAGTCACGTAGGGGAGGTGTAGACTTCGTGACTGACTTGTTCGGGGGGGGGGACCTCGAGATGGTAAAAAAAACAATGATAGCGGTTGGAGACAATTGTTGAGTGAAATGGCTGGCTCAAAGTAATCGTTCTCAGTTATTTGTCATATCCATCAAAATTCTGTGCTTCCATATTACTCTCCCTTTTATTTTTACCTCATTCACGCTTCAGTTTAATATCTCTTTCATTTTCGAATGTCTTTTTATTGCCTGCTCTTGGTTTATATGGTACATGCAGGCAGAGTGGCAAGTTAAACTGCTCGATATCTGTGCGAAGTTCTACGCTGAAACCAGTCAGCCTCACATGTCCAGCCCGTCATTTTTCGCTGAGCTTGCCACCAGGCAGATGAGGTTTGTTGGAGTGTTCGTTGGCTGGGTATCGATCGAAATCGGTCTAGGTATACATGTAGTTGGCGAGTATTCTAACCACTGATGGGGACTAATAGTAATGCTGCTATTTGGTTTCAGTACAGGAAAGCATTAAGTAACTCGTTTGAGTACTGAATATCAATGACTACTTTGATCTAAAATGTTCATTTGATGAATAAAGGCAGAAGAAAGACTGTTGTCCAATTGCTGTATGTAAATAATTATTCTCTCTTAAGAGAGAGAGAGAGTAACGGGTTGATCTCTAACGAAATCTCAGTACGGATACAGAGGGCTAGTTTCGCATACGATCGCCTGTTAACGCCGTCTCTGGCTTAGTAGATGTGATATCCGGCTGGCTATCATAGATCAAAGGGCGGGTGTACTGCTCATCAGTCCGCTCCGTCCTCCTTTATGGCTGTTAGTGAGACCTGGCCATTGAGAGTGGAAGACATGAAAAGACTAGCCAGCTGTCTTTGATCATAGGTGCCTGCATTTTATCTCCCTTGTGAAGTGGTATAATAAAGTGAGCATTATTCAGGTTAGGCCTCGTTGGAGTGATAGGTAAGAAGGAGAAATCAACCGATGAGGCTGTGAAGCTACATCGACTGAGATGGTTAGGATGTGTGTTACGTATGCATGACTAGTCATCGCCTTCCTCGACAATTGGGGCAATGTTAGCTGACATAGGATCAGTGAGGTTGGAAAAGAACTAGCTATTGGTGGTCAAACTAAAACAGCCAGTCACAGGGAGGTGTAGACTTCCTGACTGGTTAGGGTCCTCGGGACGGTAAAAACCAATGATGGTTGGAAACAATTGGTGACATGGCTCAAAGTGTTTGTTTTCAATGGCTGGCTGGCGGAGATTCATCCACTCCTTGTGACTTATGATTTCCAGTGAAACTGTTTTGTTCTTCGTTGCTACTCTTCCTTTGTCTCGCACCTCTGTTTACTGTCTCTATTATGCATTTCTTCTACTTTCTTCTCTTGGTTTGTGTGGTACATGGAGTTTGGCGACTTGAACTGGTGCACATATGTGCAAAGTTCTATGTCGAAAACAGACAGACAGATAGACTCTCTCTTAACACTGAATGATTTGTGTACTCACATCATCTTTGGAGACAACGGCCAGACAACAGGTCGTTTATTGAAAAAAATCATCAAATATTTGTAGATTTTTATGTACATTATTGTCAGCGGAGAAGCAACGTCTTCTGATTGGTTGTTTTCTTGTTGAAGGTTATTCTGTACTGCTTATAACTGTTTCTTGGATAGTTGTTAAGTCATATATATCTGTGAATCGTTTTTGCACACGTTAGGTCTGCTGTGATTGGTTGTTGAGTTCCTCAAGGTTAAGCTTTGTTATTGGTTGTTTTTTATAATAACCTTGATTTGGGACGTAAATATTGACTTTAACAGTGTTGTCTACAATTTTGGCTTGCATTGACATGTTGACACTGACTAATTATTGTTAACAAAGATATCAGTGCCGCTAGCTGATTGCTAAATTGTTGTGTATTGTAATAAAAATGCTATATACGTGTATATTAGAGTAGAGCCAGAGTGAGATGAGGATCTAATTGAAAAGTAAATATTTCTTCGCTCAGCTCAATCTTTCTGTTTTCTAATTGTCTAAATGGGGATTTTTTCTATATCCAAATAAATATGAGCACTATAATTAGATCGATCGTCGACGAGGAGGTATATTCCAAACAGTTTTGCCGGCCGTTACCAGGTGTTGCCAATTCATTTCAGTGGTTAACAGGAAGTATTTTTAGCGGTTAAATAGCACTCAGCAGCTCAACTGCATTAACTTTAAGAAGGGAAAAGAGTGTTCTGTGTTTGTGTAGAATACTCACTCACTCATGGGCCAAATTAAACTTAAAGCCCCACTAACTACTACCAATCAGCGAATGACTTCATATGTTCCAAGAAGGTTCATGCAGCACGCGAGTTCAAGGTTGTATGGCGCTTGATTCGTATCAAACGAAGTTTTTGCGTTTGCAGTTAGTTAGATGAGGATAAGGTTTTGCAGTATTGCTTGGATTTGGGGTTGCTTAGGATGTAGAGATATCGCCTCATGGAAAATGGAGAGAAATACTTCGTTGTTAATCGGAGAAGGTATCGTCTCGTACATGTGGACGAAACTGTGTTATGTCGTCAGCGAGTCAACAATGTTTAGGTGATCGGTTTATATGTGACACCTTCCTCCGGAAAGGATTCATGGAGAGAATGCCAGACAGAAAGTCTACTACCTATTGTCACTCGACTTGTGAAACAGGGATCCATTGTACATAGTAATGAATGGAAAGGTTATAACTTGCTGTCATCTCTTGGATATGTTCATCACAAAGTGGAGCATTCTACGGATTTTGTGGATCCAACTACAGAGACATACACGAATTCTATAGAAAGGTTTTGCGGAAGATTAAAAAATAAGATCAGGGCTATAAATGGATCTCATTTATAATCATTTGGATGAATATATATGTAAAGAATGTGATGTAACTTTTCCGTTGACTCTCCTATGCTAAACTGGGAGATGTTTCTGTCACATGTTAGGGAAAGATATCCTATGTTATAACAGTTTTATGCAGTTTTTATGCTTTTTTTCCATAAGAGTTATTAAGAAGACAGTTGCAGTGAAGAAATTTTCTTTTCGACGAAGTCATCATCTAGGCTGTACATTCGTGTATTTATATCAAATGGGTGGGAAAGTTCCAGAATAATTTTCGGTTAAGGGTCAAATTAATAAAAATTAAAATTAGGAATTAGAATGCCATAATAAACAGGGGAATGGATAAAACAAACAAAGTAGCATCATAATAACTAAGAAGATTGACATATTGTGCAATTAGGGGTTAGAAATGTAGAAATAGTAAAATGACAAAATAAACACGAAGTTCGGATATGAAAATATGGTAGTGTAAATAGGGATTAAGAAAAACTTAAAAATAACATGAATAAATAGGAAGTTTAGATAAGAAAGGCGATAGGATGGTCATTACTAAAGAAATTTACCTGTTTATGATGGCCATGGCAGGGACAGGGGTTGGACGTATTTCTTTTGGATACAAAGCGTGGGTTTGAGCTTTGGGATAGCTAGTGCCTCGGCTGTGCCCAGATGTCTTGATTTCACTCCCCTTTTGATAGGTTTGGTTGAATCTTGTATATAACTTTGAAGGATTTCTCCATAAATATACGTTTTCCTTAATCAAAAGTCCCTCTTCCTTGTGATTGGTCCGTTGAAGGTCGCCCGCTGATGGGTAATTAGTGGTGCTTAAAGTTTAACTTTGCCGACTCATACAATATAGTTTCATTGGAAATCATAAGTCACAAGGAGTGGATGCATCTGCACAAGCTAGCCAGCCATTGAGAACGATTTTGAGCCATGTCATCAATTGTTTCCAACCATCATTGGTTTTTACCGTCCCGAGGACCCTAACCAGTCAGGAAGTCTACACCTTCCTACGTGGTTTAGACTAACTGTTGTAGATATCATTGACTGGTGACATGTTTTTGCTTGACCTCCGCTAGCATGACTAATCAATTAAGAGTAGTATGTCTTGTTTTATTTGAATAACTGAACATTTCTACATATTATTGTTCCATTTTTATAGCCCTACATTTATTATACGCTCGACTTGAAGAACAACATGGTTTAGCGCGTCGAGCGATCCGTATATACGAACGAGCCACAGAAGCTGTTCTACCAGAGGAGAAATTTGAAGTAGGTGGATGTCATTTTTCATCCGTTGTCTTTTCTTTTTTTTTTGAACGGTGGTAATAACGTTTTCAAAGGCTGTATAGCTGCATTTTTATTGTGAAAATGATTTAAAATAATTTCAATGTTATTCATATATTACTGATTGTATACTACTCACACTAACCAGTAGTGCTTGCTAGCTAGTTAGCCAGTTAGGCAGATCGATCGAAGTGAGCTAAATACCCGGAGGTCATTTTAGGCGGAGATTAGCCATCAGTGTTCATCAGTTGGAGGCAACTTAGACAGCCAGGGTACTTCGAAACCACCCGAATTCTTGCTGGCTGCTAGCTCTTTGGGTGAACTGGGTGCCAAACGAGCAAAATGATGGTACGATGTGTGTATGTGGATTACTTCGATCACCGGCTTGCAATCACTACTGGTTGGTATTGGCGTTATACAACTATTTATTATTATTATTCCTTCGGGTTTCGAGTAGAACATAGGCCTTCAAGACACATCTCCACTTCACCTGGGACCACGATTGCCCATAATCTCTCTCATTTCCTCCCCTTTCTCAGACGATCTCCTCCATATCACCCTCTCACTGACCACCCACTCGTCGCTTTTCATTCCAATGGGACTTCACTCGAGCAATGGTCTGTATTGCACGCGATATCATTCGACGGCCTCTTCAACATATATCTAATTGATCTCGACTTTCTTCTACATATTTGTTGAGCAGTCAGCTCTTGGTTGGTTGGTTGGTTTGTTCCACTGCAGAGTTTCTTGTTGCTGATTCCTTCTGGCTAGCCAGAGAAGTGGACAGCTGTTGATAAAAGTCTGCGGTGGCGCTTGTTGGAGACGCTCTCGTGACACACATGCTGGCCAAGTTTCTGACTCCTGTAGAAGGAGTAACTGACTTCACATTGTGCAGGCTGAATTCTATCAGTCAAGTTTACAATGTGGCTACTATGCCATAAGGTAGGTGGCTCGCCATCACGGTGGTACACACTATGAATTGTTGATATTAGATAATAATAATAATAATTGGAAGGCAGTCCGGCAGAGAAGCCTTGGAACTAGATTTCATGCTTGTTGACATTCACCAGTCAGCAAAGTGCACCTGTAACTGCCTTGAAGGAGGAGATCATCTCTCTCCTGAGATTCGAATTGGCCCCACCCAGTGCTGTAGTTCTGAGAAGTTATCAGTAAGAGTCCACTGTTCGGGCTCGCGATTGACCTCCTGTATTAGGTACTTTAAATGGAAACTAGTTAGTAACTCGTGTAATTCGTGTGAATCTTTATTCTACGGGAAGTAAGGTGGTTGGAGTATTCACTTGACTAAAGTGTGATGACGGGGACAGAAAAATGATTTAGTAAACTATCGAAAATGAGCATGTGTTAGAGTGATAATGGTTAATTTCTTGTTAAAATTATAAGCAAACAAGTACGCCAGAAAGGAGAGCGCTTAAGACAATGGGGTAGAATAAACTGGCTGAATAAACCTTTTCTACTCACAGAGTTTGGGGTTTTACTTGTCAAGTAACACAAGTTTCGATATTCAAATACCCTCGTGTATATCTTGTCTGGCCATACTTTGTAGATAAATTTAAAAGGAGACTCTTGTTCAGCTACTTAGTCTGAGTTGTTTCACATGCTTTAGAATTGAGGTATTAATTTACTTAAATTCTTCTCTTGGTGTTCAGGTCAACAAATTGCAAAGGAAGTGAATATTATTATTATTATATTATTGTTTCTTTATGTTCCTAACGGAACATAAGACATCAAGAGCACATCTCTGTTTCATCCTGTCCTGTGCTGTTTTTCTTAACTGCTGTCATCTCATGCACGTCACTCCCGGACACCCCATTCATTTTATTTCCATTCATCTCCCAATTGAGGGCCTACCTGGTGTGTAGCATCATTCAGTGGTCTCCCTGGCGCTTGACATCGACGCATTTCCACTGTATTCAATATATATATGTTGGTTCCTTTCTATACCTTTTCGGTTGGCCATCTAATTAAGCGAAGGCAATTTTTGTAGATGAAAAATGACAGAAGCCTGGTTTGAATTGAAATGCTTTTGCTAACACGCTAAATGTCTGAACTATGTATTGTTGAATTGACTGATTTGACGATATTGTTAAAGTTCAGGATCTTGTTCTTTATATTTTCATTGCAGCAGATTTTCTCACTGATTTCAGAGCTATGAAGGTCTGTCTTGTCTTTCCGATTTTGGCTGTGACTGGCTGTGACATCTTCATGTATGTGTCACCTGTCTGTCTGTTTTCGACATAGAACTTTGCACAAATGTGCGGAAGTTCAAGTCGCCACATTCCGTGTAGCACGCGAAGCAAGAGAAGAAAGTACAAGAAAAGCATATTAGAGACAATAAACAGAGGTGTGAGACAAACGAGTAATAAAGAAATACAAAACAGTTTCATTGAAGATCATAAGTCACAAGGAGTGGATGCATCTGCGCCACTGAGAACGGTTTTGAGCCATGTCACCAATTGTTTCCAACCATTGGTTTTTACCGTCCCGAGGACCCCAGCCTGGAAGTCTACACCTTTCTACGTGGCTTAGACCAACTGTTGTGGATTTCATTGACTGGTGAAGCCAAGTTTTTGTTTGACCGCCGCTAGCTTTTTTCCAGCCTGACCCTGTATCCGCTAACATAGCTCGTCGACGGAGGCGATGGCTTGGCATACGTAACACATGTCCTAACCATCTCAGTCTTTGTAGCTTCACGACTTCGTCGATTGATTTCCCCTGTTTACCTAGAACTCTACGCCTAACCTCCATGTTGCTCACCTTATTATGCCACTTTACACGGGAAATAGAACGCAGGCAGCTATGATCAAAGACAGCTAGCTAGTCTTTTCATGTCTTCCACTTTCAGTGGCCAGGTCTTACAACCATAAACGAGGACGGAGCGGTCTGATGAGCAGTGTCACCTGTAGTTGAAACGATGCTGTCAGGCCAGATAAGTATAAAGGTGGTGACTTCCTTCAAATGTTTCTCGTTTATGGCAATGTTTGGTGCTTCTTGTTGTTGGTCAGTGCGTATATCTTTCTCACCTCCATCTTCTCTATGTCCACTTGAAGTACTGTCTTCTCTGTCTATTCAACCGACTTGTTAGTTTTCGTATAAAGCAAGAAAAATGGTGTGGTTTTTACAGAATAAAATGGTACCATCACCATTGTTTATTTCATTGGCTTCTCATCAGATCACCTGCTTACAGGCCATAGTCATTATTAAGTAGTATGTCTACAGAAGAGGACAGGAGTGAGGCAAGGCTGTCTACTATCGCCAATGATCTTCCTGATTGCAGTAGATTGGATAGTGCGACAGACAACGGCCAATGAGGAAACAGGCATAAAATGGACTCACAGAAAGAGAACTTGGAGGATCTGGACTTCGCCGATGACACATATATGTCTGATTTCCCACAAACTGGAAGATATGCAAGTGATGAAAAGCAACAAGTTGGCAGAAGAAGCATCAAAGATAGGACTTCAAGTGAACATAGATAAAACAGAGGTGATGAAGATTCCTGACCAACAGCAACAACAACAGACAACAATCAGTCAGCATAATTGGGAGGGACCTGAAAGAAACAGCCTCCTTAACCTGCCTACATGGGAAGCATCGTTTCAGCTGTAGGCCGACGGAACTGACGAGGATATCAAAGCAGCGAGGATCGAGAAAGCAAGACAAGGTTTCATTACTCCTAAGTCTGTGTGGAGGTCAACAGCACTCAGAATCAAGAATAAGATCCGGATTTTCAACTCCAATGTGAAATCAATCAGTGCTACTCACCATACGGATCAGAGACTTGGCCAGCGTCTCATAAAGAGCACCTCAAACAAACTTCAGACCTTCATTAACAGTTGTCTTCACTCAGTACTCAATATCAGATGGCCAGAAAAGATCAGCAACAGAAATCTCTGGGAGCGAACCAACACAGCAGGAACCGACTGTGCAGCAAATAGGCAGGAAGAAATGGAGATGGATTGGCCATACTCTGAGGAAACAAACCATCAAGTGACATCACTAGACAAGCCATTGCTCGAGTGGAACCCGAAAGGGAAGCGGCGAGTTGGTCGTCCCACGGTGGGATGACTTGGATGAGGTCATGTGAGGAGGAGATGAAAGCATGTGGGCAGACCTGGAGCGGGGTGAAAAAGTTGGCAGAAAACCGAAGGCAATGGAGATGCGCAGCTGAAGCCTTATGTTCTTCTAGAAACTAAGGGATACAATAATAATAATAATGTCCACAGAAACAATTTTAACATACTTACCCACACAGAGTTCATTTTTAAACAAAACTTCAATCAATTAGTATATATAATAATATTAAACACTGTTCCGAACAGTAATGATCATACACAATGGAAACTCTCGAAATTACGTAATCAGATGGAAAAGAGATGAAAATATCCACTCAACAGGCAGGACAAAGAATGACTGATAAGTGCTTCTTTCTGGACGCATAAATCAGTTTTCAGGTGCCTGATAGAGATAGCTTTAGTAAACTTGACGATAATTGAATTCTTTTGTTCCTTTTGATAATTTTGAATGATTTTGCGACGTCCACTTGATGACCCATGTCAAGAAGATGCCTGGCGATTGCTCTGTTTAAAGCATTTGTTCCCTTTTTGGACATAAGGTTTCTGGTATATTGTTCAAAAAATCGTAGATATACCCTTCTTCTTTCTGTTCTACCAATATAACTGCTCCCGTTGTAGGTTTACAAGCTTGTGTGACATTAAACATAAATCATCCACACGTGAAATCCATATCTTCTAAAGTCTTGTTATTGATCAGTACAGTGTATTCCTGTTTTCTTGCTTCTTACGGTCTGTCTGTTGCATGCATGATCTAATCCACCACAATCAAGGATATCATTGGTGATAGTAGGCAGCTGACCTGTCTTACTTCTTTCTTCACTTAAAATGGCGTCTTTGAGTTCTCTGTTTTGTGAATCATTTGACATCTTCAGATAGCCGTTGAATTAAGTTCATAAGAATTTGCAGTACTCCATAGTATTTTAGCAGATTGCAAATTAATTCACGATCAGTATTGTCGAAAACGTTTTGAGAGCCTGTGAAGTTGAAGTAGAGATTTAACTACCATCTTGAAAGCCCTAGACAGAAACACCTCGGGTAGGATGAGGGCATACATCCAACTATCATCACTGTTCCCAACCAACAGTGGGGTTAGACAAGGTTGCCCAATCTCTCTATTTCTCTTTAACTTTGCCATCGATGACATTCTGGAGTCAGCTCTGAAGGATGTTCGTGAAGGTGGTGTAGATCTGCTACCTGGAGATAGACTTTTCGACCTCGAGTATGCAGGCGATATCGTCTTACTGTGCGATAGCATGCAGGCTGCCCAAATCGCACTTAATCAGTTGGCGATCAGTGTCTGTAAGTATGGTATGTGCTTTGCGTCGTCTAAGTGCAAAGTACTGTTACAAGATTGGCAGGAGCCTGTACCTGCACTCACTCTTGCTATTGAACCGCTTGAAGTTATTGATAAGTTTGTGTACCTGGGTAGTTGTGTGATATCTGGCGGAGGGATGGCGCCGTCGCAACGTTAGCCTGGCTGTCAAAGTTCGGGTATACAATGCTTCGGTGCGGGCTCCCCTGCTCTACGCCTGTGAAACCTGACTCCTCCGAGCTGAGGATATGAGACGACTCTGCGTGTTCGATCATCGCTGCCTCCACAGGATTGCTTGCGTCCGACGGCATCATCGTGTGAGTAATTCTGAGGTTCGGCGGCGTGTGTTTGAACACAGTGTAGATCACCATTCATTGAGTGTCGTCATCTAGAAACACCGGCTCCGGTGGCGTGGACATGTGCTGCGAATGTCATCCCAGAGGCTTCCGTACAGGTCTCTGTTCTCTAGTCAGCCCTGGGACGGGGTGGAAAAGGCGGATGGATGGTCAGTCCATGACGTAGCGTCGTGGGATGAAGGATGTTTGTGCTAGATTAGCATCGGTTGGTGCGTCACGATTCCCTGGTTGGGGTTCGCCAGATATCTCGAATCGATGGCTCGAAACGTTATCGAATATGGCTAATGGCGAACATGCTGCAATTTCCTTCTTTCTTCCCTTCCCGATGATAGTTAACGAATACTGTTTGAACTTGTTAATTAAGCATGATTGTTTTCCTTCCAGATGAAGTTCTTTATCCGTTTCTACTTATATATATTTTTTTTTCCTTTGATCTATGTTGTTTTATTATTATCGTGTGGAGCATCTTTCTTGGTTCCATGTTGTACCAAGTTTTTTTATGCGTTTAAGTAAATAAATAATACCATTCTATGGAAAGTAATAATGGATCTAAGAGATTCATAAAGAGTTAATGCCTATGCACCATTGACAGCGAATTTCAATCTTCCAACCCATTTAGTTCTTAGGGGAGAGCAGTAGGAAGTTGAAGGTCAGAGTGAGTGAACATGAACAGACTATGCACGAAATATCACCGCCTAGAAATGAAGTAGAATTAAAAAGTCTAGAAAAAAAAAGATCGGGTATAGCAATGCATGCGACAGGCAGGCAGAGGATATTATAAGATTGATTTCGACAATGTTGAAATTCTTGAAAGAGGATTTCATTCAACATATAAATAAAGATTGATTTCTGAAGCCTTGCACATTTTAACCACATCGAATGCAGTGAATAGGAAGGAGAGAAGGGACAGGCTTATCACCACTTATATATGGCAAACTCTTATGAAGCAAGACAGATGAAAAAAGCAACAAACACTCTATGAGCCTCCATGACCTTTTATAAAAAATGTAGTATCATGTTTATCATTTATGAATTCACGTATTTTCTATATAACAAATAACATCCATACACACACACACACACTTATACATCACTAATCTTTATAAATCAACTATAGAAGAGTAAACACAACAACAATTTGACATTAGTCATTGCAAATATATGCATGGAGTATTTTAACATGAGCTGACATCAGTTAGAGAACCATTGGAAAACCTGCGAGTACTGGACAATTGTTTCGTCCTATTTTGGGACTCTTCAGCGGTACGCACCTATCGGGGGTCGAACCCAGGATCTTCTGGTTACAAGCCGAGCTCGTAGACCGTTGAGCCACTGGGACCCGATCCAATGGCCCTTGAATTCTAACATCTGCCAATTCGCGATATAGCGCGACCACTTCGCAATGTCTTCTTCTTGGATGAGTTACTGCCTCGTATTCAACCTGCTGTACCCTACTGGTCACGGCTTCCCATTAGAACCAGAACCCCAGGTTAACTGCCTGAATAGGGCCAGTCGCTAGTGAGCATCAGATTAATTTTCAAGTTTTGGTTTTGTAGGGATTTTGTTTGATTGCATGGAGGATTTCACCATGAACCGCGAACCCCGGTGGGTGCGTACTGCTAAAGAGTCCCAAACTAGGACGAAACGGCTGTCCAGTACTCCCAGGTTTTCCAATGGTTCTTTAACTGATGTCAGCTCATGGTGAAGTCCTCCATGCAATCAAACGAAATCCCTACAAAACCAATACTTGAAAATTTGACATTAGTCATTACAAATATATGAATGATGACTGCTTACATATTTCTATTGGTAAAAATGTCCATGGACAAATGACTTTCAAATAAACTGACTTCAATTTATGTAAAAAAAAACATTTTTTGACTATATATTGTGATGATTAATAAAAATTCGAATAAATCTGCTGAATGAAGAAGCTGGCTGTGGCTTACACAGCGAAACGTTCAGAAAACAGATCTTGTTTTGATTTTTTTCTTAAACATGAATCAATCTGACTCGGCGTTGAACTTATTCCAGGTAGATCGTAACACCTACGATCTGTTACTTATAATTAGATCTTAGCATCCTAAAATTTCCCGAACTAGGCAATCTAGACGTTCCGATTACGATTCAAAGTAGCTGTCAAATATATCTTTTAAAGAATTAAGGCAATCCATACATTTTGTTTTGAGTAATATTGTTCAACATTGTAGGCAGTGGCTGGTTTAGCCCTACGGAACATGTGTCCTAACGTGTGTTTATTTCTTGTCTCCCTTTTTTACACTTTTAGATGTTTAATATTTACATTCAACGAATTGCAGATCTACACGGTGTAACACATACACGTTCAGCTTATGAACAAGCTATTGAACGATTACCAGAACAACATGCACGTCAAATGTGCTTGAGATTTGCTGATCTTGAAAGAAAACTCGGTGAAATCGATAGAGCCCGGGCTGTTTATGCCTATTGTGCACAAATGTGTGATCCACGTGTAAGTATATTTATATATTTATACTATCGTCATACTGGTAAATCTCTTTCTTCGATTCTTTTATGTCATCTTTTATGACCAATGGGTTCCACGAAGTCTCAGGTGAGATAGGGGACAGTTATTCGCCGACTTAAATAACTGACGGTTACGTTATATATGCATCACGAGTCAGCAGACATGGGAATTCATGGGGTCACTATTGGGTAGGTGGGCTCCCAGTGGTTGAATGGTTTACGGGAAGGTCGCGTTACAACTGGAAGACTCTGGGTTAGAACGCTGGTTGGCGCGCATACCACTGAAGATTCCAAACTGGGACGAAATAGCCATTCAGTTCCCTCTGATTTCAGCTAGTGATCAATCCTCTAAAATAATATAAACCTCCACAAACTGGATTACATTTTTACTGCATGAAGCATCCACATTTTGTGGAAAAGCAGGTGGAGGTTTTTTTTATTCATATGCATAGCTTTGAAGAAGGAGGATACATTGCCCGATCGATAGCTGCTACCTTGACGTGGTGGTCGTCGGGCTTGCACATCGCGATGACCCAACAAGCTAAACTGGCTGGAACCAATGTTCCTCCTGCAAGTCCTACCATGCCGGGAAGGTTGTTAGGATAGCGAATAAACTAAAAGCAGTTACCGGGATTGTGTAAGAATCTTTCTTACACTATGCTGGGGGTCTGAGGGCGAAGTCGTACTGCTGCGGAACAGGGATGTAAGAAGAGCAGTAAAGTGTTTCCTCAGATGACCAGCATCCCAACTATGCTGTTTCTGCACTCTGGAGAGAGGGGGGTTAGGAAATGTCGACCCCAAAATTGTACATCCCGACTTACCCTACGGTGGTCCGTAACCGGCGGTAAGTTTACTAAAACGGAACCAAACCAAGGAACCAGCTCATACAGGCCGTGTGTGACCGGCCTCAAGCAGTTGTCCCCTGGGTTCTGCTCTGCGGTCACACAACACTAACCCTCTTTCTGTTTCAGGTACCCGAAGAATCAATCAACTTCCACTGTGTGAGCAGCCAGGAAGTAACAAAAGTACACGAAGCCTTCCTTAATACACTGTAGTTGTGATAAATCTCCGGTCATATTGTTGTCTCTGACTGAGAAATACCCCGATGCTTGACTTTAAGACCAATATGAGGATATTTTTGATGGACAACATGACTAAACAGTGAAATTCAGGATGCTGCGCATTTCGTCTTAGTTTGGGAATCGTCTGCAGTAGGTTCTCATCACCCTACCCAATGGAGGCAGGATCTTCGAGTTACAAGACCAGTCCGTGTAGCATTTAGCCACTGGGATAGAATCTGATGGCCAAATAGCGCATGAATTTAAACTTCTATCAGCTCGCGATTTTTAATGCCCGCCGATACAGCTCCAAAGTCATTGGCGAGTATTTTTTGGTGGACGACATTGATCATGGCTTGTATCTTATATAGATGTAGTCTTTCTAAAACAGTACAATGCTGTTTGCATTTACTCCCCACACACTTGTGACCTTGGAACCCTATTGGTTGTTGACTGTCTTAACTTATTGATTAGTGTCTTTCAAGGCCATTTAGAGCAATATATATATATATATATATCCAATTACTATCAACCCTTTTCCGCTGTTGAATCGGCTATCAACCAAGGGACATGTGTACTGCTCAGCAGTCCGCTCCGTCCTTCTCTATGGCTCTGAAACATGGCCAATACGAGTTGAAGACATGAAAAGGTTGACTGCTTTCGATCATAGATGTCTGCGATCTCTGTCTCACGTTAGGTGGTGGTATAATAAGGTAAGTAATGTTGACGTTAGGCGTAGAGTGTTGGGCAGGCAAAGAGGGAAAATCAATCGACGAGGCTATAAAGTTACATAGATTGAGATGGCTAGGTGACGTGGTGCGCATGCCTAACCCTCGCCTCCCCGTCGAAGGGCATTACTAGCTGATACAGGTGCAAGTTGGAAAAGGGTAAGTGGTGGCCAAACAAAAACATGGCCTCATCAATCCATGAAATCCTTGACAGTTAAACTGAGTCAGGTAGGGGGAGATGCAGACTTCCGGGTTGGGGCCCTCGGGACTGACTCTAGGAATCAATGGCTGGAGACAATAGGAGACACATGGCTCAAAATCGTTGTCAGTGACAGCGCAGATGTATTCAGTCTCTGTAATTTTTTCATATTCCTTTCTACTATTACCCACTCTTTTTCACTATTATACTTGTGAAACTCTATTGATTCTCTTCACTCATCTTCTTGTCTACTTCTGTGTGCTATTTGGAAGGTGGCAACTCGAAGTGCGCACTTCGGTGGCAAGTTCTATGTTGAATCCAGACAGACAGACAGAAATTCTCACCAATGATATTGTCGAATGATGATGACTTACGAACAGTTCGTTGTTTAGCTTTTTCTGGTAATGCAAAGTGTTGAATCCATTTTGGATAAGATTTTATTTTGATGACGTCTCACACAGTGTAGTGTTATACAGTAATATTAACTGAGGACAACGTTTCGAGCACAAACTACTGCCACTCATAATCATATTGTGGTGAGAGCAGGCTGCTAGCCAATTGGTTGACATTAATCTACGTCAATGTCTAGGTCACTAATATGGGCTGTGAGAAAATATGAACAGGGCTGTTTCAACAACCAATCACAGCAAACTTAAACGTGGGCAAATATGATTCGCAGATAGATGGCTTCATTTTCCGAGGAACTCGAAAACAACCAATCAGAATACTGCGTTTGCCTACTTGACTAGGCTATAATAATGTATGTGAAATTTATATAAATACGTGTTGATTCCCGTAATAAAACGATCTGTTGCCTGGCCCTTGTCTTCTGTTGTTACAATATCACAACACTCACTCACACAACTTTTTCTCTTCGTTTATATACATGTGTGGAATCGATTAGATATTTTGATTAAAATCAATATAAGAGAAATTACATTTGGAAACAACAATATTAGTGTTATCAATCAAATATAATCAGATGGGAAATAAGATGAGTGTTTTTACAGTCATAACAAATAACTTGTTAGAATGTAGTGATGTACGTGAATTGAAATAGAATTTTATGATTATTTATTATCCTCCTCTGATTTGACTGACTGACTGGTGGTAATAATATCTTCCATATCTGTGGCATTTGCATTGAGTCACTTCTGTTGCATATGTTGTGTTGGGTGTAGATTCACTCGATGAACCAGGATTCATTAATCAGTCTCTCTATCTTCACCTACCTATATTACTTATTAGAATTTTAACCCTCTTCACCCTATTGTGTGAATGTGTGCTAATGCATGCAGTGCACTTGCTGCTGAGCTTTTCTCTAAATTACTTATTTTCTTAGGGTCAACTATTCTGACCTTAGCTTAATTCTTATGTTCCGACAATCTGACTACCCCTGACCTACTAGTTTAACCTATGTAGTTGACCTTAATCACAGTCATTGCAAGGTATTTTGTAAATTATATCATATTGTTTAATTGCGTCCACCGGTCTTTAAGCCTACAGAGCTTGTCCCTGTCTGAGTGAGTTTGTAGGTTTGAATGCCACCCTAATTCCTGCTTTATATATAAAGTTGTGTCAGTAGTGCCTTGATATGATTATGAGTGTCAATAGTTTGTGCTCGAAACATGGTCATCAGTTAATATTATTGTATAACACTACACTGTGTTGTGATTTCTCAAAATAAAATCTTATCCAAAATGGAGTTATGCTCTACCACTACGGTGCCGAAGTTTTATATACTTATATCATAATGTTGAATGCACAGGCCTTGCCTGTGTTTCTACCTCCGCCCTCATCCTCTCTCTCTCTCTCTGTCTCTGTCGTTCCACAACAGACTGAAACACAATTTTGGCAAATATGGAAAGATTTTGAAGTAACGCATGGCAATGAGGATACACTACGTGAAATGTTACGCATTCGTCGTAGTGTTCAAGCCACATATAATACACGTGTTAGCTTTGTAGCTAGTCAACTGCAAACTAATGAAGAATTGGCTACTGGTAAGTTAATTATTGTTGGCTTCGTGTTTTTGATGCGTTTTGCCTGAAAATGGTATCGTTGCTTTTTGTAACATATATATTTATGTATATCTGTAAAGTGCCAAGTTACATGAATTGTTCAAGTGTTGTTTTCTAGGGATTTGATTGATTGCTTACAGGATTTCATCATAAGCTGACACACTGGTTAGAGAACCATTGGAAAACCTACTAGGGAGTACTGGACAGTCAGCTGTTTCGTCAGCCTAGTATGGGACTCCGCTTCATCAGTACGCACCCACCTCAGGGGTTCGAATCCAGGATCTTCCGGTTACAAGGCTAGCGAGCTCGTAGACCATTAAGCCACTGGAACCTGATCCAAGCAGTATTCATATCAGAATTACGCTTAGTTACCTGGAACGAATTTCACATGTGCTAACCAAGATGTCGTAAATATTGTGTGTGTGTGTGTGTGTGGACAGATGTTGGTTCTCAGTCGTAGAGCATTTGATGCAGTAGGATTTAGGCTTTATAACTTCAATGGATCGAAGTTAGAGATGGTTAAATTATTGAAGTGTGTATGAGCAGAATGATCGTAAAATTTCTAGGCGCAGAGGTGATATCAGCCCGTCATGTGTCAAAGGATGTGTATACTGTGCAGTAGTAGTCTCCTCTATCCTTTTTATAGCCATTGAAAATTGTGTAGGCGTTAAAAGACTTCCTGTCTATGACGAAAATGTTTGCGTTTCATCCCTCATGTGTTGAGTGGTATAGTATGGTGTGTATTATTGAGGTTAAGCACAGTGTTAGTGTTATGTTCTAGTTTTCCCCGTCGCCAAATTGTTATGTACTCGTCGCTAAATTATTGTTATGGACTGGTCGAGAAACTAATAGTCCTGACGAAAGAAGGCGGAAATCAGAAGACCACTAGGTTTGCGATGATACTTCTATTGTCCGAACACAAGGAGACGAAAATAAATGGTCTCACACCAAAGTGATAAGTAAGTAAAGTAGTTCACACAAAATGTGAATGCGAATATATATAAATGTTCCAGACGAAGCGTGTGAACAAATCATCAGACAGTCTTAACATGAATGGCTAATTATAATGAAGTATCGATTCATATATACATAGCGAAATATAGCAGACATGTGAACAACCACCATATATGGATATATGTCACCAAGCAACGGACTGTCAACAAACACTCATATTATATTATATATAATATAAGGAGAATATACATTGTTAAAGGAGACAAGTTCATACCAGTGAAATGGTCACAGACTAAGCGAGCAAACAGAAAGAGAGACCAACATACACACACACATAAATATATATGTGGATACATATCAGTTAGGTAAGGTAGGATAAGTCAATCAGTGAGGTTATGAATGTCTGTCTGTCTGTTTTCGACATAGAACTTTGCACAAATATGCGGAAGTTCAAGTCGCCACATTCCGTGTAGCACGCGAAGCAAGAGAAGAAAGTACAAGAAAAGCATAATAGAGACAGTGAGCAGAGGTGTGAGACAAAGGAGTAATAAAGAAATACAAAACAGTTTCATTGAAGATCATAAGTCACAGGGAGTGGATGCATCTGCGCCACTGAGAACGATTTTGAGCCATGTCACCAATAGTTTCCAACCATAGATTTTTGCTTGTTTGTGATGGTTGGGACACTGGTTGTGCATGCCAAGCAGTCGCCTTCCTCGACAAACAGTGTCAACTGACACGAAATTGGGTTGAATCGGGGGGGGGAGATTAACGGGTGGTGGTCACACCAAAAACTGGTATTAGTCTATAGAGTCTTTGACTGGTCACTTGAGCGAGCCACTAAAGGAGATGTAGCCTCTTTCTGGTTGTCGTTTTCGGGATTCAAGAACCAACAGTTCGGAGAGTGTTGGTGGTATGGCTTGAAGTTTAAACTAACAGTTATGGATTTCATGGAGTGATGAAGCTATGTTTTTTTCGACCTGATCCACTATCCATCCTATGTGTGTGACAGTTAACAATGCCCCCATTGTCAAGGAAGGTGACAGATGGCTAGGAATGCATGCAGGCCGTAACACATGTTCTAACCATCTCTCTGTCAATCAAAACATCTGCTTCACAACCAACTCGTCGTTTGATTTTGCCTCCTCATTACCTACCACTCACTCAACCGACTCCTAACTTCAATATCACTCATCTTATTGTGTCATCTAACACGAAAGATGGGACGCAAACACCTATGATCAAATACAGCTACTTCGCTTTTTCTTGTCCCGTCCCCTTTCAATGGGCATGTCTCGCTCACTGTGATAAAGAAGGACAGATATAACTTCTGTGTGCAATTCTCACGTACTTTGGTCGACAGCTTGCCGGATATCACCTCTATTAAGTCAGAGATAGCGTAATTTGTCTGGCATATACCAAACGAGCCTTTTGTATCTGTGTTGAGACTTCGTCAGCGGCTGACCCGTTGACGCTAGCTGATGCAAGTTCCACTTCACTTATGTCTATCTTAAAGCTAGAAGTAGTCGATGTAGTCCAGTCGGCCCTGTAGCACCATCATCCTACATTGAAGGGTGCGAATCGCACGCCAAACATTGGAAGACTGCTGCTCAGCTCAAGGTGTTCAGAATACTCTTCTCTATTTTTGTCAGTGTCTTCACCCAGGTGGGAGGACTATATCGTATGCATATTCCAAGCCTACGAGATTATTCTACTAATGGTAATAAGTCAGTCTCTGAGTCTCTGAAGTTAGTTAAAGGTAAGTCCACTATTACATCTTTGACGAAAGTAAAAAGTAATGGGGACAGTGTGCTGGCATCCCTCTCTGACGGACACTACTCGTTGTCACCACTTCAGATGAAAACTCTGCGAAGGCACTTACCCAAATGCCTGCATGAGTCCGAGTAGAGTGAGTACCTTAATCAGTGCATTGTATTTTCTTGGCATTTCCTCCACAGCCAGACAGTCAGGTTCACGACACACACACACACACACACATTCACAGAAACACAATATAGATTTAGTGAGTCAGTAAGTCTTTATCTCTGTTACTTTAAAAAACTCTAATTGATTTCTTCCTCCCTCCCCCCCCCCCGCCACTTCCTCTTCTCTTCTTGATGAATAGCTCCAAAAGATGAAATGCAAAAGTTGGATAAATCAGCTGCTGCTGCCGCCACCGGCGGAAATACAACAGATGCTTCTTCGCATAAACCATGTCTAGCTGGTCGTCCAATGGTGGTTTTCCAATCAGCTGGTGTTAGACAACTTGGTCTAGACAGTGACAGTAAACAACAACAACAACAGGAGGCAAATCGAAAGGCCAGTGCTAATACTGAAGAAATTGACATTGATGTCGATGAGGATGGTGCCGATGATGATGATGATGACGACGAGATGGCGGGTGATAATGATCAAAGTGATGAAGAAAATGAAATGCCAAGTAAAAGACGGAGAAAAAATAAAGCAGATGGTAAGCATATCCGGTAATATTGTTATTATTATTATTACTATTATTATTATTATGATCATTAAAGCAGAACTTGGCACTTTACGTGGGTGCCAAGAGATGTGCCACACGAAATCTCATAGCTCTTTTGCTATCACCCGACTACTGTCTGGAGCAGTTGGTGGTGGTTGTCTTAAGTGGCCACTTCTGAGTCTTTGACTTGATTTGCTATCCACATAACAGCGCTCGGAACTACATTCTCACAGTTCCCGGCAACAAAAATAGGTTCACACGCCATACGATCCTTTGAGAATCTGAAATCGGGGTTTTTCGTCTCATCTAGGTAGATCGCTGTGTAACAAAGGAAGACAAGTTCCAGGCAACAGATCGTTTATTAAGGAAATCAACACGTATTTATAGATTTTCATGTACATTATTATAGATTATTGTTAGCAGATAAACACAGTCTTCTGATTGGTTGTTTCTCACTGAACGTTGACCTTGAATCTCTTTGTGACTGTTTCTTGAATGTCAGATCATCTATATGTTGACTATATCCGCTGACTCAAAGCCTTTGTTCTCATTTTTCTCACGACCAATATTGGGGACGTAGACATTGACGTAAATTACTGTCCACCAATTTTGACTAACAGTCAGCTCTCACTACACTCGTCCACCCGTCAAAGACTTGCGACTGAAGTTGGTTCACTCTTCTTGGCTCTAGGGGCTTTGTTCGTTTGTCTTGGCTGTCCGGAATCTTGGCGCTCACTGATGTTCACCTGTTTGTCTTTGTTTGCCATTGCGGTTGTGTGACCATATGTGGTCCTTCCCACTTTGGAAACTGTCTGCCTGACCCTGTCGCTCATTCATTGGTATTTCATCTCACACTTTCATATGCTGCTTTCCCCCGACCTCCAGGCAGTGACCCAAGTAGCAGCGTCATCGCTGACAGATCTTGAACGCTACTCAACTGCGCAGAAGCCTCAAAGTCCTGTCCGAAGATCCATATGTCTCCATCAAAAACTGCAGGGCATAGGCTTTCCATTTGTCGGTAGGCAGCGACACCATAGGTAACAACAGAAGACAAGGGCCAGGCAACAGATCGTTTATTCAAGAAAACACATCTGTAGATATTCATGTACATTATGATAGGTTATTGTGAGAAAACAAACACAGTCTTCTGATTGGTGGTTTCTTACTGAACGTTAATCTGTCATTTCTTTATGGCTGTTTTTTGAAGTTCAAATTTTTATCTGCAAATTGTATCCACCTACGCAAAGTGTGCTGTGGTTGGTTTTTGAATCAGTCTTTGTTCATATTTTTCTCATGATCAATATTGGGGACGTAGACATTGACGTAAATTACTGTCTACCAATGCGTCGGTGGCATAGCGGTTAGGACGCTCGCCGACCCCATGCACGTGGTCTGGGGTTCGATTCTCGGCCAACGGACGCACTCCTTTACCTCGCTGAGCCAGAAATAATACTGGTAATGAGGAAAGGTTGGGCATGAGGTGGCTAGCTACCCCATCCTGTAAAATAAACACTGCTACAGAAACTTCGAGCCATTAGCTTGGGGCCTATGTTCCACTGTGGAACGTAAAGGAAAAAAAATGTGGCTACCAGCCAGCTCTCACTACACCTGGATGTCTACCAGTCCGATTGTAATCTCCAGATGTTCAAATCTCCCTTTACGAATAAGATTTACTTTACAGTGTCTATGAAGTCATGGTTACATAAGAGCATTTCGAAGTGGTTGTGGGGGCAGCGTAAACTGAAGTCAAGCCATCCTCGGCTGGGTGAAGTTAAACAATAGCGTCCAAGGGGTGCGAACGCTCCAATGACCTTGAACGCATGCTACATGTTGGCTTAGGACACCTATCATTACTAAGGCGGAAACATGAACGCTATTCACCAACAACTAAGGAGCAAATTTCACCCAGATCATGTTCTTAATTACTGCTTAGACATTGTGTTACTAGCTCATTAGGGTTACGATTAGGGATAAATTTAAGGTTGGTATTATTTATTTTAATTTGTTCTATTAATCCCCATTTTCCCAGTAAGCAGTCGTTGATTCTCTTACTGAAAGAAACCATAATAATTTAACCGACAGCTTTTTAAGGAAGACTGCAAAAGAGGGCCAAGTTAAACTTTAAGCACCATTAGCTAAACTACCTATGGAGTGCAACCGCGCACTAGTGACCTTCAAATGCTCATTGAGCAAGTTAGTGAAACCTGGCAGATAATGTTGTTATCACCAACAAAATATACTCATCGAAGTGTTGTGCTATTAAATGGGATGGATATCTGGGAAGTTTAAGCGTAGGTGTTTGGGAAAAATTAAGTTACACTTTAAGGTAAGGACAAGTTGGGGTTGGATTACAGTTAGTTTAGGCATATTTTCACGTAAGGGTTAGGTTCAGGAAAGATTAGAGTTATTGTTAGGGTAAGAAGACCTATATAATAATAACTGCATGCATAGAATGTGGTTTAATTACTCTGTCGATATAAGAATAGAACTTTTGCATTATAGTGGTAGATTATAATTCCAATGTGTGGGTAAAATTTATTCTGATAAAGTCTTACAGTGTTATACACAATTTATTGCTCAGTAAATATTACTGTATTACACTATAAGACTTTATTCAAATAAATTTTACCCACAATGGAGTTAAACTATAATGATATTCCAACCTAAAACTGAGAGTTATTTTTATCACATGTGAAGCCAGTATCCTCTGTAACACTTTTATACCTTTTTTTTTGCAATTCCATGCACATGATTAGTGCGTTTTGAGGTCATTAGCTGATTGGTAGTGTTAATGGTGATTAGAGTTTAACTTTGCCCGAAAAAGAGGATAAGAGCGACAAACTGGTTGGAAAATAAAGGTCACCTTAAGTGTGTCACCTCGGGGAATGCACATGTGCAGAAACTGGTCCTCACCTAAACACTGATACTCCTCACTATAATTGGGATATTTTTTTAAAAAGTTATTTCAGAGAAAGATAACCTGTTTAATGTCTTTTCATGTGCAGTTTCTTGTAAGTAAACGTCATTTTGTTTGTGTAAAAACCACTTAGTTTTATGATTGGTGGTCGGCTCAAAGCCACTTGTACGTTCGTATCCCTTGGGACACTATCGTTCAAACTTCGACCTTGACCGTACTAATTTGTGTATGGGGGCTATCATTTTTCACATTATTAGATGATTCAGGATAATTCTATGAACTGGTGAATTATTTGGTTGTGTACTCCGGTGGCACAGCGGTTAGGATGCTCGCCGACCATGCACATGGTCCGGGGTTCGATCACCGGCCAACGCACTCGTTTACCTCGCTAAGCCAGTAATATAAGCAGGTAAGGAAGAAAGGTTGGGCATGGGGCTAGCAATCCCATCCTGTAAAAAAAATATACATCGCTGCTACAGAAAATTCAAGCCACTAGCTTTAAGCCCTATGTTCCACTGGGGACGTGAACTCTGGATTACCAGTGTCCATTTCACAATAGTTATGTCATAGCTTATTATAGCTCTAGCTTAACAGCTGACGCTTAGACGTTTAGGATAATGCGAATACTGGGTTCGAATCTCAGTGAGAACATCTTTTTACGAGTTGATCACGGATTTATATCAGTTAGAAAACCATTGCACACCAGTCGGGGAGTACTCGACAGCTGCTGTTTCATCCTAGTTTTTCGGGAATCATCGGCAGTACGCATCCACTACAGGGGACTCAAACCCAAGACCTTCCCGTTACAAGGCAAGTTAGAATTCATGAGAATAGGGTTCCCAGTGGCTGAATGGTGGCTGAACTATTCTTTAGATTTCTGGTTTTATTCGGGTCAACCAATCTAGATTTTGCTGCTAGGTTTTTATGCCTAGCTAGTCTAACTGACTGTCCCTGTTCTACTAGTTTGACCTATGTATTTGACCTCACTGACAATCATTGCAGTCAGGCAGGGTATTAGATAAACTAAATTGTTTTGTTTTATAGGCTCCACAGGATAGATGCTTTGACCGACAAAGCTTGTTTCTAATTGAGTTTGTGGATGGGTGGGTGGGTGGTTTGAATGTCAGCAGCCACTTTTATTCCTTGATAACAGAATAGTTCAGCTATAGCAATCACCACATGCAGTTACACACAACCATAATATAGGCTGGATGGGATAAGATGACAGTTTTAAAATCTAATGTTACAGGGTGGAGAGCGAGAGATTGATAACTGACTGGCTGAGGCTTTATTTATCGAATCAACTGAGGAGAATACGTGTGTAATAGGAATGATTCAACACCTGTTCAAATGGACATCTGGAAAATTCTACTACCCCCATACGACGACAAATAGGAGAGGACAAAGCAAACTATAAAACTCAAGTTTCGAAGTCGTGTGATTACAATTGATTGATATGATTATGAACAATAAGTTTTGTTCAAAACGGTGCCATCCAGTATGTAATAATACTGTTTCACTCTGGGTTGGGATACATCTAACAAATAAACTAATATGGAATCATGGGGCCAGCTGAAAAGGGGACCACAGGGAATCGGAGAAAGTGGAGATGTGCTGTTTAAGCCGTATATCCTACTCACAAGTGAAGGGAACAATAATAATAATAGTAATAATCGACAACACGACTGAATGATGAAAGAGTTTGAAATCTGATAAAGTTACATTCGTCACTGATTGAGAATTAAGGTAGTTGAATGTTCACTTGAGAAGTGTGAAGAGACTGAAAAAATGTACTGGAGGAACATTTACTGAAATTGAAAGTGAATGACTATAGAGAAGACATCAAGACCCTGGAAGTATATGCGACTGAACAGGCTTTCTTCGCCATATTCAAAGCCTGAAACGTCAACTCGGATGAGGCTGCATCAGATGAGTTCACTAGGTGCTCAAAAGAATCGCACCGGTAGTTGTCTTGCATTGTCCTCTTGCTCTAACTGTGCCGAATATTGTTCTGAGAGATGTGTTTGAAAGTGTGCACTTTGTGTGGCCAATATAACTAGCTGCACATGAGCAGATAAATTTGTAAATACACATTGGTGTGGCTCAAAGCGGCAGTTTATCCTTCACACATCCGTCGGCTGTAGAAATTGATACGTAGCTCAGCCATAATGAAGGCTTTCCTCAGTGTGATCTGCATAAGCGATTCTTCAGGATCTCAGCTGTGGTATCACTGTTAAATTCAACACTCATAAATAGCAGTTTCTTCGGCACTTGATCTTGAACTGGATATTTAGAGTGCACCTCAATAGTAGTTCCTTTCAGTAGTGGATCGGAACACACACGTGTCACTCCACTGATCGCTTCTCGACTAGATGTCACCTGCTCACTGACTCATGTGCATAAAGACTGCTCAGCCAGGCTTCACTTGAGAAAGCAGAATCTGTCGTCGGTGATTTGCACTTGTACGCCCAATCGAGTGGCGTCCACTTCAAGTACACCTCTGAGAATCTCGTCAACGTGACTTTCTTATGCAGAGTGAATCAATGGCACACAGCCATCTTGCTAGCCACGATGAATATCTACAAGAAGAAGGTGGCCAAGGACGAAGTAGTCGACACACTCATATCCTCTTCGAAATCACGTATTCAAGAGTGAAGTAGAAGCCTGAAGAGTCGCGTCGAAACACCGATATCATATCATCGTGGATCATTTGTGGAATATTGCCTCAGCAAGATAAGAGTAGACAGTAATATCATAGTTGACAGGTATGAATCATTGGTTATGAGTGGTCGGTTGGGTTCACTAGGTGAAGGTGAACCTGTGTGTCACCACGAACAGCTGGCTGATGGAACACCGGTTCCAATGGATTTTAACTCATTCAAGTTCATACGAGATAAGGAGGAGAGGGTGTTCACAATTTACAAAGCTCATGCAGACTTGCATGACGCTGGAGTGTACACATGCAGAATGGAGGAATGCCCGACATTCCTTTCAATAGATGGTTTGCCGTTGGTGAAAAGCGAAGTAGCATCCATGCGTATCATTTCTTCCCGGATACATTAGCATCACTTATTGAATCGGCGAATTCAAGTGAATCAGAAACACTATGCTTGCAGAGGTTATTTCTGATAGGTAGGAGGATTTCTGTGAGCCATTTAGCAGTAGCATGATATGGGAATTTGTCATGTCAAGATTGGTCGTGGTGGCACGTTCTCATTGTGCAATTTTGGCAGAACCTATAAACGGGAATCACGAGGAACCGGAACCCCTATTACCCAATAATAGACCACTATATATTTTTGTAAGTATAAATAAGACTGTACAGCCAGCCTCTGAAGATGATTTCGTCGATGAAGAAAATTTTCTTCGCTGAATCAGTTAAATTGATAGATACACATGAAACAGACGAAATAAGGCAGTTTGTCTTTTACTCCCGAACGAACGCTAAAGAGTAGTGAGTGGTTTTGAAGACAGCGTAATTCAGCGTCAGCAGCAGGGAATGCTCTAAGACGCTGTGTAAGTATCTCACTGATTTTGTCCCCGTTTGTGTAAGAATAAAGCCTTCCTTTTTTTAGGAACTGTCGGTACCTTGACTTCACTTTTTCATTTTCCGCGTTTTTAATTTTGGCCTTTTTTGTTTGTTTTTTCCCTGCTTATAGATGTTGATATTGAAAGTCAACCAGTTCCATTGGCGGTCTTTGGAAGTTTAAAACACGATGATGATGATGATGATGACGAGGAGGGGGAATAAAATGCTTAACAACTTGATGGCTGTGTACTATGTACTGTCAGTCTTTGTTGTGTATAGAATTGTCTTGTCTACATTGACCTTCTCTTGTCACCCCTTATTTGTGTTGCTCTTCTTCTACTTGTACTTCTTCTTGCTTTCCATCTTATTCTTTTACTTGACTTTGCCAAGACAAAGAAAGAAAGTTTTGTATACAAAGACTATTTCACTGTATAATTCTGTACATTTTTATTATATATTGTTAATTTGAAAATAGACGACGTATATATATATATATATATATATATATATATATATATATATATATATATATATATATATATATATATATATATATATATATATATATATACTTATAAATATGGATGTTGTTCTTGTGTTGTCTCGACGAGAATGTCTAGCCACAACAGGTTTGGAGACAGTTTCGGTACTAAATTCTGATGTGGTTGCGTTCTCTGAGCTGGATACTTAATTTGCAAAGCTTTCATCGCCCTACTACGCGACATCTTCAGCTTATACTTCAATTTGAATTGAAGTGAGCTTTCACATTTCTATTATAGGTAAATTTTGTTTTGATAAAGTCCCACAGTGTTATACAGTAATGTTTACTGATGACTTTCAGATTTCTCCATGAGTTTATTAGTCATCTCTCCCGGTGGGTGACCTTGAATGCGATTGGTTGTTTTTGTGTATTTTCACACCCCCTGTAGGTGGCTATTTGTGTTGAAACTGATTGTTTCTTTAAATTGAACTTGTGTGTGTGTGTGTGCGAGGTTTCTTTCTTATCGGTTGATAAATTTTGTCTATCTCGATGTGTCTATTAATTGATGATTCAGTGGAATGCCAAGCTTCTAAAAATTCTCTAGCATTCTTGTTGTTTCCTCTGTCTAATATTTGAACGCTGGATGTCCGTGGTTGTCTGTATGTAGTGATATGAGGGAGTGGATATCATATCTTTTGACGGCTAGCTTATGTTTATGGATACGAAGACGAAGGGGACGTCCACTTTCACCAAAGTAGTGTTTCTCGCAGTTGTTAGAATTTATTTTGTAGATACTGATGTTGGTTTTATCTTCTTTCGATGTTGAGTCTTTTGGTTGACATAGAACTGAGTGAAGTGACTTTGTTGGTTTGTGTACGATGTCAATTCCTTAAGGTGTTTGAAGAGTGATTTCTGAGATATCCTTTATATATAGTAGGGCGATTTACTTTATGCTTTTCTGCGGGGCTTTTGGTTTCATAGGTTGGCTTGTTCTTGTATTGTCTTGATGGGAATGTCTAGCCAACAGGCTTGGAGGCAGTTTTGGTACTAAATTCTTGAAAAGTCAGGTAACAATATCCACCTTTGTATGTGGTGCGTGAAACGACCAAAACAGCCTTTCGTTGTAAACGTGGTGTAAACGCAGGAAGTCGATCTCTGCGTCCTGCTCTGTTGTATAGCTGTCTGAAATTTCCACGTGAGATGCGCAGTCATAAAAGGTCATCAAACAGAAGTATGCCTCCATTAGTCAATGATATCCGTAACAGTCAGTTTCAGTTACCTAGAGAGAGATATCGACTTCCTAACTAACTGGTGGATTGGGGACCTCAGGATGGATGGTAAGAACCAATGACGGCAACTGGAGATAGTTGATGATATGGCTGACTCGAAGTTATCGTTTTTATTTGGGTGGCTGGCGCAGATGCATTCACTCTTTATGGTGTATCATATCCAATAAAACTGTATTGTTCTATATTACTATCCGTTTTCCATCACTTACACTGCTATTTATTACATTTATATATATATATATATTATATATATATATATTCTTTTGAATGTCTCTTTACTGTCTTCTCTGGGTTTGTGTGGTACGTGGACGGAAAGTGGCAACTTAAATTGCTGGACATCTCTAGAAAGTTCTATGTTGAAGTCAGTTGGTCATAGTTACAAACTGATCCCAAAAGATAGTGAATGATAAGGCAATTATTCGTGGTTAAATTTATGTGCGGTTCTACTCAATAATAATAATAATAGTAATACTTATTATGATAATAATAATCAAAATAATGATAATAATAAGATTAAAAATAGTAGTAATAATAATGATAATAGAAATAATAATAGTAATAATAATAAAAATACTACTAATAATTTAAAACAATTTGTCCCTTTTATAAATTTTGATAGCGTTATTAGAAGATGGAGATTATCTGAAAAAGTACGTGATGTATTTGCGCTATACATTTCGAACAATCTGATCCCTCACACATTTACTTGTCAAGTCAATATATATGAAAAAGTTAAATTAAACAAAGTGACAAAAAAGAATTAAGAATAATTAACACAACGTTTGGTAATCGAATCAAATAAGGATTACCAAGGTAGGTTAAGAGTAATAACAAACTGTTTTTGAATACACAAGGGGGGCTTAAGTCTATGAATAGCTATAGCCTCAGCGTATTTCAGTAAACGCCCTTGACCGGTTTTATAGATGACCTTAAAGGCTGAGTTAACATCAATCTTATGGTTCATCTCGATTAGATGTTTAGCTATAGACGAATTTGGTAGTCTGACACCTGCATCTATTAGCTTGTCACAATTCATCTGTTTTTCTAACCATTTTGGGATATGCTCTCCCACCCTCACGTGCAAAGCGCGATTACTCCCCCCTATGTATGTATGTATGTCCGCACATACACACACACGAAAATTGGTAAATTGTGTGGGATGTGATATAATCACTTGTGCACTTTTGAGGTTTACAGTGAAGCATATTTTTGGCTTTTTCCACAATTACAAGCTGGGCTGCATAGTAGGTTCTACGGATGATTGAATTCAACCTTTGTCTCACAATCCTACTGTTTATTTCCCCGTTATATGGTAATTTGATAAAAACCTTTTTCTTAGGGACGGTATGGATTGTAGGTTTAGAGGCTAGTTGACTTCTACACCTGTTTAAAAATTTCAAAGGATATCCGTTTTCAACAAGAGTATCCATTAGTATTTCGTTTTCTTTGTCCATAACATCAGCCGTGCAAATACGCTGAATCCTCTTGAATAGACACTTCACCAAGCCCCTCTTATACTGTAATGGACAGAAGCTGTGAAAATTAAGGTATTGCCCTGTCCAAGTGGGCTTTCTGTAGATAGACCTTATTGAGCCATCATCTCTTCGACTCAGAAGTATGTCTAAAAATGCTAGCTGGTTGCGACTTTCTTCCTCACATGTAAGACTAATATGATTTTGTACAGAGTTAAGTCTGTCTAATAGGCGACTCGCATCTTCATGATCGTCACATATCAAAATGATATCATCTACATATCTCCTATAGAGGGGCAATTTTGAAATTAAATCAAGGGATAAGTTTTCAACATAAGACATGTACACGTCCGCTAACAAAGGTCCTAATGGACTCCCCATAGCAACGCCATCCACTTGTCGAAAATGTTCGCCTTCAAACGTGAAATGGACGTTGTCAGTACATAATAATAATAATAAATCTTTCAAATAAGTTAAAGGGAAAGGGAATGAAAAACAACTAGAAGATATATAGTCACAAAGAATATCAATGGTACATTAGTAAACAAAGAATTAACATCAAATGAATACATTTTCCTATCTTTTATGTTCATATCTACAGGACAGTCAACAAGTTCAAATGTATCTTTCAAAGTAAACTTACATAATTCATTGACTACTGGACTTAAAATATCAGCTAACCATTTTGCCAGTTTATCTGTAGGAGAGTTACACATTGAAAGAATTGGACGTAATGGATTGTCAACCTTGTGAATTTTAGGTAATCCATAGAGATTTGGGCAATCAGATCCCATGGGTTTCAAGGAGTTAAACTCTTGTTTATCGATAACGTCCATGCCATGAAGTTTTACTAAATAAGAATTTACTTTTCCTTCCAATTTTCTGATATCATCCGAAGGAACATCGGCTATGAATTTATTTTCGTCATTAAGGATGGATAACATTTTTGTTTTATAATCATTTCTGTCCATTACAACTACACCAGATCCTTTGTCAGGTTTCAGAATAACTATATCGGATCTATTACGTAATTCCTTTAGGGCTTTAAAATGGGTTGATGTTAAAATGCTTCTCTGTTTTCGACTTGAATTACGGAATTGGTGTGCAACATCAACAAATTTAACTTTCAACCAACTTTGGTCATCTGTCGAGGAAGGAGTTAGAGAACTCAACTGATCATACAAATTTTCAAACTGAGAATCAATTGCTAAGTCTGAAATATTGTTTAATGGGATAGAAAAATTGAAACCAAGTGATAACACCTCCTTTTTATGTAATAAAAGTTCAACCGAATAATAATAATGATAATAATAAAATAATAATAACAATATTGGCAATAATAATAGTAGTAGTAGTAATAATGATAAAATTAATAATAATAATAATAGTGGTAATAATGAAAACTTATAATTACCTCAACGGTGCTGTTAGACCGCCATGTATACAGGCGTAGATTTTATTCCAAGTACACAAACAAATAGAACCAATACCTGAAGAACAAAATACGTTGACTAAAATTCATTCGTTGTAAGGAGTATCCGAGAATCAAAAAGATGGGGTGAAAACTCTTTCCACACATTAAAATATGAGAATAAAGAGGAAAATAGACAAATAAGAAGGGGGGGAGAGAGTCAACAATATGATATATGCGAATGTCAGAACAACAGTGATAAACATACAGTCTGAGAGACAAACAGATGGTGTGATGAGAAAGTTTCGCAACTTCATCATAAACTGACATCGGTTAATGGACAATTGGAAAATCATCCAGAGAGCAATGGACATCTATTTTGTCAGCCTAGTTTTGAACTCTTCGTCGGTGTGTACCCGTTGGGGTTCGGACCTTTTGGTTACAACGCGACCACTAAGTCACTGGGAACCGATTCAATGGTGTCAGCCCATGAATTCCAACTTCTGCCAATTCATGATACGGCGGGAACACTAACGAATGCCATCCGTGGCGAGTATCTATCCTGATCT